CCTTCCATCTTTGAAGAGTATTTGATTCTACCATATCTGGGTATTGAGAAGATTTTGAAATTTCAATTTGACCAGTTTTGGCCCCACCAATCAGACCCTGGGGGTCAGTCCGGGCTGATATGTGCATACCATCAAACGGCTATCCAATACTGATAATGCTAACCCAAATTGAATTACATCCAATGGAAATTAAACAAATGTTGGTCCAAAAGGTGATTTTCCTATATAAACTATAGTAAAGTTTACCCCCTCCCCAGGGGGAACCGGGAGACGCCAGGGTCATGAAATTCACAATTTTGGTAAAACACCTAACCCTTCCATCTATGAAGAGTACTTGATTCTACCATATCTGGATCTTGAAATTTCAGTCAATTTGACCCTTTTTGGCCCCGCCCCTCAGGCCTTGGGATCATATATTTCACAATTTTGGTTGACCTTTGGCCATGGAAGGTTCCTGCAAATTTTTATTACAATTGGTGCAGTACTTTTTGAGATGTCGAAAATGTAAATTGTTTACGGACGGACGACGCACGCCGGACACTACACGAAACTGAACCAAAGTGTTAACAAATACATGTCTTTAAATTGCAAATATTGTAGGGATGGACTTCAGGTTATGCAAACGTATAGAGAAGTAAACAAACAATTATACATTATCTCTCAATCGTCCCGCTCAGCAAGTTTAAGCCACAAAGTATATTACAACACAGCAAGTTTATTACTCATTTTACTTTTCCATTGTCTTCATGGGCACTTAACACGACATAACCGAGGGCACTATGGTAAGCCGACCGGACTACACACCCAAGCCAACATAACCGAGGGCACTATGGTTAGCCGACCCAATTACACACAAGCCAACATAACTGAGGGCACTATGGTTAGCTGACCCGACTACACACCCAAGCTAACACAACCGAGGGCACTATGGTTAGCCGACCCGACTACACTCCTAAGCCAACATAACTGAGGGCACTATGGTTAGCTGACCTGACTACACACCCAAGCCAACACAACCGAGGACACTATGGTTAGCCGACCCGACTACACACCTAAGCCAACATAACTGAGGGCACTATGGTTAGCCGACCCAATTACACACCCAAGCTAACATAACTGAGGGCACTATGGTTAGCCGACCCGACTACACACTAAAGCCAACATAACTGAGGGCACTATGGTTAGCCGACCCGACTACACACCTAAGCCAACATAACTGAGGGCACTATGGTAAGCCGACCAGACTACAATCCCAAGCCAACATAACTGAGGGCACTATGGTTAGCCGACCCGACGACACACTCAAGCCAACATAACTGAGGGCACTATGGTTAGACGGCCCGGCCGCCCACCCAAGCCAACACAACCGAGGGCACTATGGTTAGCAGCCCCGACTGCACACCCAAGCCAACATAACTGAGGGCCCTATGGTTAGACAACCCGACTACACACCCAAGCCAACATAACTGAGGGCCCTATGGTTAGCCAACCCAATTACACACCCAAGCCAACATAACTGAGGGCACTATGGGTAGCCGACCCGATTACACACCCAAGCCAACACAACCGAGGGCACTATGGTTAGCAGCCCCGACTGCACACCCAAGCCAACATAACTGAGGGCACTATGGATAGCCGACCCGATTACACACCCAAGCCAACACAACCGAGGGCACTATGGTTAGCAAACCCAATTACACACCCAAGCCAACATAACTGAGAGCACTATGGTTAGACAACCCAACTACACACCCAAGCCAACATAACTGAGGGCACTATGGATAGCCGACCCGATTACACACCCAAGCCAACACAACCGAGGGCACTATGGTTAGCAGCCCCGACTGCACACCCAAGCCAACATAACTGAGGGCCCTATGGTTAGCCAACCCAATTACACACCCAAGCCAACATAACTGAGAGCACTATGGTTAGACAACCCAACTACACACCCAAGCCAACATAACTGAGGGCACTATGGGTAGCCGACCCGATTACACACCCAAGCCAACACAACCGAGGGCACTATGGTTAGCAAACCCAATTACACACCCAAGCCAACATAACTGAGGGCACTTTGGTTAGCCGACCCGACTACACACCCAAGCCAAGAGTAGAATGAGCAAACTGTAATCAAACACGAGCTCTATGTATCTGAACTCAAGTTCTAGAGCAACGGTTAGATAAAGCCTCAGAACATAAATACGACAATGCTTTTTATTCATTTAACTGAGGGCACTATGGTTAGCTGACCCGACTACACACCCAAGCCAACACAACCGAGGGCACTATGGTTAGCAGCCCCGACTGCACACCCAAGCCAACATAACTGACGGCACTATGGTTAGCCGACCCGACTACACACTCAAGCCAACATAACTGAGGGCACTATGGTTAGCTGACCCGACTACACACCCAAGCCAACACAACCGAGGGCACTATGGTTAGCAGCCCCGACTGCACACCCAAGCCAACATAACTGACGGCACTATGGTTAGCCGACCCGACTACACACCTAAGCCAACATACCTGAGGGCACTATGGTTAGACAACCCAACTACACCCCCAAGCCAACATAACTGAGGGCACTATGGTGAGCCGTCCCGACTACACACCCAAGCCAACACAACCGAGGGCACTATGGTTAGCCGACCCGACTACACCCCCAAGCCAACATAACTGAGGGCACTATGGTCAGCAGCCCCAACTACACACCCAAGCCAACATACCTGAGGGCACTATGGTTAGACAACCCAACTACACACCCAAGCCAACATAACTGAGGGCACTTTGGTTAGCCGACCCGACTACACACCCAAGCCAACACAACCGAGGGCACTATGGTTAGCAGACCCAACTACACACCCAAGCCAACATAACTGAGGGCCCTATGGTTAGACAACCCGACTACACACCCAAGCCAACATAACTGAGGGCCCTATGGTTAGACAACCCGACTACACACCCAAGCCAACATAACTGAGGGCACTATGGTTAGCCGACCCAACTACACACCCAAGCCAAGAGTAGAATGAGCAAACTGTAATCAAACACGAGCTCTATGTATCTGAACTCAAGTTCTAGAGCAACGGTTAGATAAAGCCTCAGAACATAAATACGACAATGCTTTTTATTCATTTTAAGTGACAAGTTGATTGTATTACAATAGTTTGTTGGAAGTAAGCGTCGCATGGAAAGTGTGACAATGGAATGTGTTTTGAGTGAGCGTCGGGTTGAATGTGTGATAATGGTTTGTGTTTTGAGTGAGCGTCGGGTTGAATGTGTGATAATGGTTTGTGTTTGGAGCGAGCATCAGGTCGAATGTGTGACAATGGTTTGTGTTTGGAGTAAGCGCCAGGTCGAATGTGTGACAATGGTTTGTGTTTGGAGTGAGCGTCAGGTTGAATGTGTGAAAATGGTTTGTGTTTGGAGTAAGCATCAGGTCGAATGTGTGACAATGGTTTGTGTTTGGAGTAAGCATCAGGTCGAATGCGTGAAAATGGTTTGTGTTTGGAGTAAGCGCCAGGTCGAATGTGTGACAATGGTTTGTGTTTGGAGTGAGCGTCGGGTCGAATGTGCGACAATGGTTTGTTTGGAGTAAGCATTGGGTAGAATGTGTGACAACAGTTTGTGTTTGGAATGAGCATCAAGTTGAATGTATGACGATGGAATGCACCTGGAGTGAGCAACAAGTCGAATGTGACAATGGTTTGTGTTTGGAGTGAGCGTCAGGTCGAATGTGTGACAATGGTTAGTGCGTGACAATGGTTTGTGTTGGGAGAAAGCATCAAGTCGAATGCGTGACAATGGGTCGTGTTTTGAGTGAGCATCGGGTTGAATAAGCATCAGGTCGAATGTTTGACAATGGTTTGTGTTGTGAGAAAGCATCAGGTCGAATGTTTGACAATGGTTTGTGTTGTGAGAAAGCATCAGGTCGAATGTGTGACAATGGTTTGTGTTGGGAGAAAGCATCAGGTCGAATGTGACAAAGGAATGTGTTTGGAATGAGCATCATGTCAAATGTGCGACAATGGGATATGTTTGGAGTACGGCTAAGGTCGAGTTAACGACAATGAATCTGTTTTAAGTTCGTTAGGCTGAGTGTATGGCAAGAGTATCTGTTTGCAGTAAACATCAAGTTGAATGTAGGACAATGTTTTCCGTTTGGAATAAGCGTCTGGCGAATGTATGATACATGTTACGAGTAGTTTCAAGCCAAGTTTATGATAAAACTATCTTATTCAAGTAAGTTTCAAATGAAGTTGAAGAAATGATGGTAACATATATATTGAGTAAGTTTCAAGTCAATTTTATCTTTGAAGGAAACTTTTATTCAAGTCTTAAATTTTTCAATCAAAGTAAGCTGGAGTCCTCTTTTTGATCATGTTTGAACTCGAGGCTATGCAATTACAGCTATTTTGAAGTAAAGCTTGAACCAAGTTTATGGCCGAGTTTTAAGGAGGCTTGAAGTATAGGTACCACTGAATACCAGTTATAATCGCCAGGAAGTGTGCCACTTCAGAAACTTTTTTTTTTTAAATTTCAGTTGTCTCCCTTCTATCAAATCATCTCAATTGAGATTTCGAGTTACTTCCCTTGTCCAGATATTCACCTCTCATTTTGATGCTGCGCAGTTATAATTCCTGGATAACATTGTTGATAAAAGAGTAGAATTAAGGGGGATTAAACATCAAGCTTCTGGTCAAGTCTACAAGAATACCTCAAGTTTGGACACAATTTATAGCAAAGGCTATGCCAATGGTAAACATTTTAAAGCTTCTCATGGAGTCTGGCATGTTCAATCCCCTTATAGAGTTGGAAGCTGACCATTCAATGGTATATCTTGATGATACTTTATCAATTGTATAAGTGCTTTGAAAAAATTCATTAAGTGCAATTTTACTACATTTTTCGGCGATTTTCTCTACAAATAAGGAAAAGATGGACCATTTCCAATGGTCTCTCTAAAGTGAAGAAGTACAAATAACAATAAGACGTGGTCAATTTCCAATGGTCTCACAGATGTTTAATTGTAATCATAGCCCTCATGTTTGCTGACTACAGAAGAATCATGTACAATATCGCAACATACAAGGATCATGGATACACCCAACTAAAAGTGGATACCATGACGACTAACACATTCATAGTCACATACACAGGTAGACGAGGAGAGACTGTACATATTATGGGATGTCTGTACATAATGGGATGAGAACAGGAGAATGGGTGTGTCCATGTGTTGTGTTGGTGTGCTGTTTAAATGAGACCACGTTTAAAAAAAAACAAAAACAAATTAAAAGTGTTTCCTCTTATCCTTTACACTTCATGTACACATATATATAATATAAAATGACTTCTTCAAAAATTGTGATGTAGTGACAAATCATGTTATATGATCACCCCAGTTTTGATTGTTTTTTCCCCAATGACTACATTTTATTGTCGCGGCCCGCCCCCACCCACTAAAAATGTAACTATATATGTTTATGGTGTCTTTTATGTTTTATTCTCGGTGATGCTCCATTTAGGATTTTAAAATTGTTTTAACAAACAGGGGCCCAAGGCAGGCAGGTGCTCCCAGTCACAACCAATGGCTGGGGCAGTGTATTGTATGTATAATGAGGCTCTGGGCAGGGCTGTTACAATGCTACATTATCAATGGAAGGTCCAAGATGGGGGCATTTCGGGGGAATCCAAATGAGATAGGGAGAAATACCATGATTTGTGTCTTAAAATCAATTTAAGGTATGATTAAATGACCAATGTACATTGATGAAAAATGTTTCAAAATAACGAAAAGTTGCTTTTGCGATTTACAAAGCAAAAAAAACAAAAAAAATTAAATGTAGGAAAAGTTCACGATCATAGACCCCTGATGTTCCCAGGAGCATCACTTTGTGTGTAATAAATACCCAGAATGCTCAACAATATATATATATACACATATATATATCTGTTATGTATATATATAATATAAACACTTTGCCGTACCCAGAAAATGAACGATTTTGAACCTCTTCATCTGTGGACTCCCAGCAAAATATAAAGTGACTTTCACCCCTTATATTCACATGCAAATTTCTGTTACAAATATAGAAACATCATCATTATCACTAATATCATCAATGAATCGGAGCATGGGCACTGTTGCACTGAGATCGTGGCAAATTGTGTGTAATTTTAGTTTGTGAGTCTCCCACCGTCGTGTGTTGTTGGGTGGCGACAGTAAAATGCCAATGAGTCAGAAGTAAACACAACACCAACATCACATAATAATAATAATATTACTGTTTGATCAAAATGTCTCACCATGAAAGGATGCCTCTATGGTACTTATTACAAAATGAAGGACACAATATTCTTCGGTATGCTATACAATCTTGTCGCATCATTATACATATCTACCAATACATAATGATATTCTTAATTTACCAAACGTCGCATGACATTTGGGTTCTTGCATCTTAAATTATCATACAAAATACAATCATGATTATAAGGAATCTCCCATATGAGCATTCTTAAGTTTGGACAAAAATAACAATGAGATTGAAAATGAAAAGTGAAGGGAGACAACTCTTAACCTATTCTGTAAAACAACACATCGTCTTTTACCTAACAATTGAAAAAATATTCTGTAAATAATATTTGCGTATTTGAAATGATATTTTCAAGAAATTATAATATCCCCAGAAAAAAATCCATTTTTTTAAATGAAATGAATATTTTTACACCAGGAAACTCTTTAACAGATATGATTCATTTTGTTAATGATGAAAGTGTTCTTCATAAAAATGATTTTCTAAATAATAACAATGTTATATGTAATTGAGTGGTAAATGGCATGAATAATTTTCTGAGGAATTGTAATTTTCTGTCAAATACAAGTATAACTACGAACAACCTACAAATTAAATTATGCTGGCTTAAGTCCAGCCAGTCATACAATTAAGTAAAACATGCAGATTGTCCACCCCCCCAATATAACAAACTGACCGCCAGAATTGCTGGACATTGACACTGACAACTTAGGTCCAACTGTGTTGTCAAAAACGTAATGTACTGTAGCCATAGCAACCGATGGTAACCATAGAAACAAGAGGTACATGAACACATCAATAAAACATTTGTTAACCACCACCACCACCTGTTAGTGGTTTTATCCTAGACTTCCACAGTTAATAGAGATTTGGTGGATTATAAAACAACCTCAACATGCAATTCCAGCATGTTTTTGGTTTTCGTTGAACACATAGTTTTTTTCCAGCAAGTCCCTAGTGTGGAACCTGTGTCTGTCCAGTACCAAATTAGGTCGGACCTCCATCTTGATACTACATCCCTTCCAGGGTATCTACTGGGGACCATTCAGTGAGTGGCATTAGTTCCAACGTAACACTCGGTGTTTGAACTATGGGAAATCTCTGAACAGCACCAAGTTTTACTCTGTTAGCACATAATTTATATAAATTGAGACATCATTGTTTGGGATTATTTCAGGTCAACAAAACAACCCCTTAAACCTGCAATAAACAGATCCCATACATTAATCTGGACCAGTCCAATGCAGAAAAAAGGGTGGTTATCTGACAGTAGATACAAATATTTGTCAACCTAACACCCTTTAATTTGCGATAGACAGATCCAATGAATGTATGTGGACCAGTCGACTGCAGTGAGGGTGATAAACTGACAGTATACACAGATATTGGTCAACTTAACACCCCTTAAATCTGCAGTAGACAGCCTGTGCATTGATATGAACAAGCTGACTGGAGTTCAGGGGTTGCTAGCTGACAGCAGACACAGATTCCTCATGGGACGTTAGAACACTCAGCAAAGAAAGTGATGGGAATGTATTGGCTTACACAGCTGGACAGTAACGCGGTCAGTGAGTGGCCCCTCCCTTGGTCACTCCCACAAATATCCACATCTTCTCCACTTGTCTTAATCCCGAGCTGGTTGAGCAATCGTTTTTCAATATGGCTGCCAGGTGAGTTGTGTCCCTTGAATACCGAACTTTGAAATGCTCCTAACAAGAAGGCATTCACCACTGCGTAAACCAAGGGACAGGAACAGTTTAGAAATGGTTGTTCACGAAAAACATCATCATATTATAAGATTTAAAACTTAACCACCTTGAAAATTATCAATAAATATTCTATCAACCTTGTTAGAAAGTTTCAAATTCATGTAGTTTTAATCATTTTGATAAAAGTTATCAAGCTTGAAATTTCACATTTTTACTAACAATCAAGCTAATGAAGATGAGAACTTGTGTAAAAGACCGAATTATAGAACTGTGACCAGAGACCTGTATTGCTACAAGCATTTCTCTGTAGAGTATCTAGTTTGTCCTTTCTCAGCTGAACAACTTAAAATATTGCCATAATCCGTCTAAAAAAACGATAAATTTTAATATAATTTGCTTTTACATGTTTTGACGAGCAACTAGACAAGTGAATGAAAAGTGTGGACGTTTTCTGGGTGCGACGTCAAAAATATGTTTGAAAAATATCTATCAAAATTTCTTGCTTGAAAACTCATAGAATTCTTCAAACTTTTCAAGGTGTAAAGATTCACTACTACTGAAGATAAATTGGAACATCTATTTTGCATATATTCTCTTAGAATGAGAGGGAGATTTTAGACTACCCTACAATCAAAAACAGTCTAAAAGACATTTGTACAAATACTGGGGAAAGAAATCTACTTGCCCATTTAATGACGACATTTTGATCATTTTAACATAAATACATGAAAAGTGGAGAATTCTATGAAACACAACAGGAAGAGAAGAGGGAACACTTGTATGATACAATTTACATGTTAATAATAATTATTTGATATATATATATTTATATGATAACCCAGACACATACTGAAAAATAGGTCTGTCACAATCAGTAATGTAACAATGCTCAACCAATCGTCCACAACCAAATACCACACTGTCACTGTCACGCTCCACTGGCTCACGGTGCTCCATCATCCATGCACACAACCTTTCACACTTTGACCAGTGCCTACCATGGTAAACTTTACACAAAACAGTCGCCAGATTACTGAGAGCTAACTCTATGTGTTATACAGACTATGATTTAATGAGAGAAACGAAGAAATGTTCCTAGTACAAGCCACCACCATGCATCAAGTCACCTTGATCAACCAAATTTGATTACCATATAATGAGGTCCCCCATATCCCCAACCCATTTTAATTGTACTTCTCTTCGATTGAATATTGCATTTACATAAATATAAGATTAATTATTAGATATAACTGGATCTCAATTTCACCAGTTTTTATGAGTAACTGATCAACAAAGAGTTATCTCCCTTAGACCCAATTTTAATTAAGTGCATTAAAATGCTTATAAAATCTTAGGAAAAGATTCAGTTTGGTTGTATCATCAATTTGCTACAAAATAAAACATGTTGATAGAACTTTTGTGGAGGCCAAATTGCAATAAAATGGGACAGAGTGAACTATTGAAGCTGTGAAATCTACTCGGTAGTGAGGTCTTAAGCTGAGTTTTGAGGGGAAAAAGAGACCAAAAAGAGACCATGTGTCCAGACGGTGAGTAAAGGTGGCCGATCAGATCACATAATAATGCTCAGTGACAGTAACCAATCAATGGAACTGGCACATCCTGATTGTAGATGATCTAAAGTGGTAACTAGTTGCATGGTGGTTTGTAAGAAGCTTGTATGTGGTGTTAATATTTATACAAACGGTGTATGGCAACCGACTGGCATTGACTTTTCTGATAGAGGGAAGGGCAAATAACTAACCCCACCGATAGTCTCTGATTGAGGGAGGGCAAATAACTAAACCCACCGATAGTCTCTGATAGAGAGGAGAGGCAATAACCCTTCACCTAATGACATTTAATTCTATAATGAAGCGGCAGGGCAGAAAACTGTAAAACAAACCCTTATAGAGGGGAAGGGAAAATGAACCTAAACCCATCAACATTTGATTCTCTTATGGAGGAGAGGGGACATATCTTATCATGAATAGGGGTGGGCAGAGCTGCTAACTGTAATACCCAAAAGTCAAATACATCTATAATTTTTCCCCTCTAAATCACATGAATGTCATAATATTTGACTGTAGAGTTAGATGGCAATTAATGATTAAATGAAAGATGTCTAAATTAGTGATGACTTATGGTCGAGTATGAAAAAATCCAGAATGCCGCTCTTACTGTGGGAATCAGAGGGAAACTAAAGTGACCACTATGATTAAATGATGGCGGCAAAAACAAGTGTCCATATTGTATGGAAATTAATATGAAATCATATCCAAGAATACAATTAAGAAAAATATATTTATATTGACAAAAAAGTATTTGGGGAGGAGAAACAGGTTCAATTATAGATGTACCATGAAGAGATGGGAATTTGTAAAATGAAGAAACATGAGCACAATACAGTGGTTATGTGATCACAATATCTTTCACGGTGGTCAACGGACTACACCACTTACACTATATATCAAATTTATATGATAAATGAAACAAAAAAAGTTTTGTTCAAAAAGAAAGTTGACAAAATAAAATCACAATAGTTTGAAGTGATTTTGTTCTCTTTTTGCTTTTGAAAATTTTGGTCCTTGAAAATGTCCGATGTTTTAACAATGTGTGCAAAAGATAAAGTGGGGATGTGTACTGAAGAAATAATCTTCAAGCCAATGCTCAACATAGAAGGAAAAAAAAAACTGACACAAAAATCAACGACATTAAATATCGTTTGTGTGGGTTTCCATAATGACAACATACTAAATGTAGCACTTGTAATGTGTGACACAGCTTCAGAGAAGGTCTAACGATATTCCACAAGGAAGCTACGACTGTCACTGTTTCATCATTACAGCTTAGTTGGTCCATGCAGATCAAACTAAAGAGAGGCATAATGAATGAGTAGATTTGTTAACTTGTTAATACAAAGCGAGAGATAAAAAAGGCTCCTATAAGCTAACAATAAATAAAAGGTGGGACTCCGCTTTGGCTTCAAGACTATTTCTTGTTCAAACAATCCTGATGACAATTTCAACGCTGTCGTGGGATGGAGCCCATCACCATGACAACGGTGACCAATGTGTCATGCCCCCACTGGAGAGGGGGAATGAAGAGGGGACTCTGGGTTGTAGTGTGTCGTACGAACTGAGGCAAGAACTGGTGTTACCACATATATGTACACAGTAAGGATCATGTCAACTGCCATTGCTTGGGAAAACAACAAAAAAATCTCTTGCAAACTTAAAATGTAAAATAAATTAAAAAAATAAATAAATAGTCAACAAAAAAAAGGTTTCTCTTCTTTATAGCATAACGTTTTACCCAGAATCACATATGTCGCATCAAACATGTTAACTGGCACCAAATTTGTATGCGAATGATGGATAGAATGGAAAATAACGAATGAGCAAATGTTTAATGCAAAAAAATAAAAACATAAAAAAGCACCTTAATTCTATTTTCTTTTTGTTTCTTTTCGGCAAAAGAAAATGGTGATATGGCAGTAGACATGCATATGAAACAGACACTCTACGATTGGTTAGAAAGAGACTATGTCAAAGCAATGTTAAATGATTTCAGGGTCAGTCACCATGGGTACAAGGACCATGGGCTGCCCACTCCTATGCCATCAACTAAAAACAAGCAGCACCAAAGTCAATCTCTAGGAAACTTAGCAAAACCGTGTTCTCTCAGTTATAAATATATACAAGTTACTGTGAGCCAGAGTTGTCTCCCTTCCTTTGTTCTGTTCCCTACATATTGTCTATAAATCTTCAAGAAATTTGGTCCGTGAGAGATATCCTTTACTTTTGACATAATAAATTGAAATAAACCAATAGTTTGACCCGATTTAAATGAGATAACACAGTCAATGTTTTGTCTCCTACAGCACAAAAAAGCACTAAATTTTGAATGGATATCTTGAAAAAAGGTCTTTCCACCTCAGTACCAATTGGATGCCTTTTGGAATACTTTACTGGAAACATGTGAAAAAAAATCTTTATTTGTATTTTTTTTGTTGTTGCCAGATTTGTTTTGCTGAAATTTTATATGGTGATGTTAGTTGGCAGACGAGATGACAAACATTCTCCCGAGACAGGTTTAATGGAGAACACAATAAGCAAGGACAAATGACATCATAATGGTAAGACATATATAAGCTCAGCTTGCCCCAGTTCTATAGCCGACCACTGTGACCCAAAAGTCTAGTTGCTACAGATGACCGTAGTGTCAGCACCAGTTTGTATTTTTTAAAATTTGTTTGCTTCTTTAAAAAAAACAGAAGTCAAAAAAACCCTCATATAACTCATAAATGAATGACATGGGAAAAAAACAATGTCATTGTGTATGTTTGCAATGTAGGTCAGATATCTCGCGCTGTCTTTCTTTCTTTCTCCCTTACTTGCTAACAGTAGTTATCAAAGATGTATACGTACAAAACCTTATAAATAACAGAATAATTTACAATAGACTTTACTCTATCTTATAAACAAGAGTGAATCGCGCTTCATTGTGACATGAAATAGTCGGGGTGATCAGTGTCTTTTTCGAACCGTTTTGCCTCCTCCTGCATAGATTCTTTAATCTTTAGGATTGCTGCAGACTCCGTTTGGTCCTGTGAAACGATATATACAAGATCCATCAGTACAGAAGCGTGCGTGCACCCCCACCCAATAAACCTACTCCCAGATAATACCAAATTACCATTTGTCCCTTGATGCTATATGATGCTGCTATTCAATTTTCATTTCTTAAATTAATTTTCCATTAGAATTAAAATTGAACCAAAATAGTTTCGAAGTCAAGTTTTTTTTAAAAGATCAAAAAAAAATGATGTACTATCTTTGGAAATCTATCTACGCTGACTGTCTGAAATCACACATTTCCAGGAAGTCCTTGAATAGCTCTTTTACCATTACAAGCACAGGAACGACCCTGATGACTTTCAGAACTCTTTGGTCATTTTTGCTGTTCAGATCATAAAAGGTGAGAGTTATTTGTGAGGGGCCAGACAGGCGAGGCGTCCGTATTCGCACAGTGATACGAGGAAGTGACGATACAGGTGTTCATTTAGACATGCTCTCGATAGAGAGAAGGGTCATAGTTCAAAGGTTAGGGTGAAAGAAGGATGCAAAAACTGTACAGAATCGCATATAAATTGTATACATGTTATAGCTATAATCATTCATAGGATAGTGGAATAGGGGTTCAGCTTTTTCATCATTTTTCCTGTTTTTCTTTTAAAGGAGTTGTTGAGTATAGTTTGACATGCTGCAGTGACCTTGAGATTTTAAGGGAGTCATACGTAGGCCGTAATAGTAAAAGGCATTCATTCACCCGTGGAGAGATTGCCATGGCAACAGTGATTTCGATTAATATAAAATAATTGCAGTATGCATCCAATCCAAAATTAAATTTGAGAATTGGTGTTTTTTTCCCTCCAGTAACCATCAAGATTGTTTGACAGTTGACTATAAAGTCACACAGAATATATAAGCAATATGCAGTATATACACATGGTAATATACATTATACTGAAGAAACCTTTTTTTCATGAGACAAAACACAAACAAGGAAATAATAATAATAAAAAAATAAATAAGTAAAATGAAAATGAAAAAACTCAAGCGAGAGAGTTCACGCAAAGGTTAAGCAATAGAGACAATTGAGAAGTGTACATTCATAGCATGCAGAGAAAAGATTGCACCAGCCAGACGAGCTAGGAACTGGCTCAGAGTGACGAAGGAGACACAGTAGTGAGTCAAGCATATACAAACTACGTCATCATTGTACTGAAGTGAGTGAGCAAGTGAGTGAATACGTAAAAAGTGAGTAAGTGAGTTTGAGTGAAGGAGCACGGGACTCTGCATTCTCTCCAAATGATTGGCCAATTGATCTCACAACCAACCTATCAAAATCTATCAGCAGTAAACATCCAATGAAATAAAAAAAAAGTTTTGGATATGGAATTAAATTTAAATTAAATCTCTTTATAACTGTATATTAACAATTTTCTTTTAAATAAAGATGTTCAATGAAAGTGTTCCCTGCTGTACCTAGCAGAGAGTTTTGACAGAAATGGTGGAGAAGCCACAATTGTATGAGGACTTCCTGTTGACATCTACATGTATATATATATATATATGGGACTGCCCATTAGGTGGTGGAGGAAAGTTGAGCATCAATGGGCGAGGAAGGAGGGGGCCTGCACGACCCCTCACATGTTCATCTGACTTACATTATCTTGGTAGCCTAGGCTGGGGTAGCCACCCATATCCCCTGACACGGCCCCGCTCACGGGCGGCAGATCGTCCCTGGGTGTCCCGGGACCATTTGCTGGAGAGTTCTTCATTCCGTCTATATCACCTGTAAATGCAAACCCCGCGATGTGCATCACAAACTAGGCCATGACTTGAATGTTGGCCGATTTGATTGGTTCCTTATGACCAATTGGTTCTAAAATGTTGTATAATGCCAAACTGTGTTGGAAGTATGAACTGCACTAGATACAAATGAAGATTCTTATCTAATTTATCCAACAACAACTTTTTGCATGTGCAAAGATTGGATTCTGCAGTAACTTGTATTTTTCCTTCTACTTCTACTGTTTAAAATGTTACTGAAGAAAGCTTCTAGTTAATATGAATACAAGTTTTTTTAAAGATAAATTTTCTTGACATCAAAAGCGATTTTTACTTTCTTTTCTCTGGGGCAGCCTTTGTAAGTAGGTGTGACTGAATTTTCAAAAGTTCAAACGGTATACATATTATTAGCTTTCTGATGTTGCCCTGTATTATTTTGGATAGTGCTCATAAGCTATTGTCTCCTATTCACTTGACCATTTCACTTACCACCATTCATCACTGATCCCATTTCTGGCCCCATCCCCATTTGTCCGTCTGGCCCGCCTGGCATATTAGGAAACTGCTGAAAACAATCACACATATTGGCATAACAAAACTAAAGACTTACAAAAGTATTTATATATATATATTGTATAACAGAATAGTATAATACTGTATGACCTTTACTTCAGACGTTGTTATGAACTTATCGCTTGGGACTTTAAGCCTTCATTATGATTAGGATCTTGGGGCCTTCTGACCATGACAGTCCCCACTTCAAGCTTCTTTGTGAACACGACAATCTTCACTTTAAGCTTCATGGTGAACATGACCATTACTTCACAGGGAACAAGACTTCATAGACTTGAAAACTTGGCTGCAAACAGGACCTTCCTAAAGCTTTCTTATCCACAGAAACACAGTAACTGTACATCATACTGGTAAGTTCGGCTTTTATGCCGTCAACATTTACAAAGAAAGGAGTGGAGAGCCAAATAACAGCAAAAGGTAGGCGGAGTGTGGTCAGAGGAGCATGGCTGTACTTACCCCTGGCATTCCTGGCATGCCTCCAGGTCCAGGACCCTTCATCATTCCATACATCCCGTCCCCTGAATTCGTAGAATCTGCAACAACCAACAAAGGGTACAAATTTGCCACCACCACTGCTAGATATCAACCTTTGTGAGGATTAAACCTCAACATACTAATGACAACCATTTCCATTTGATATACGAGTTATATATCAATGACAATTCCTATAAATTGTCAATGATTTTACCCAATTTTGACCCAGGGTTATTTCTTACAATATTCTGACAATTTCTAGGTAACCTTTTTTTTTATATGATAACCCAGTGATGACCATTTTGTTTTGCCTCCTATAAGTTTATATGATATAATACACGAGTGATGACCGTTTTGTTTTGCCTACTATAAGTAACTGCAATGGCAGTTAAATCACTGAAAGTAAGTCTCTCTAATCAAATTGTACAAACAGCTGTCCATAACCAATATAAAGATTATAAAACTTTTTAAGTGCAGAAATCTTAAAACCTAACACATACATGGACATATATCTCATTTACATCATCAATAGAGGACTGAATTTGCAAAATAAAAATTCCAAAAGACAATCCCTTCATGCAGTAACCCCGTCTCTTTCCCTTCATGCAATATTTAAATTTAACTCCATTTTACCCAACATGCATTGCTAAAAATTCTGTAAAAGGGAAAAAATGTTCAAGCAAGTGCAATTTTCATTTTTCCATATCTTCTATTTGGCACTCACTATTTTAACAAGAATTCTGATATAATTTCCTCCTATAGTAAATCACATTCTCCCACATTATTCAAGAAACTTTAATTGATGCAGGTTTCATGTTCATGAATAATCAAAACATTGGCTTTAGTTTCTACAAAATGGAACACAATCATGATCCTTTATTTTGTGGCAGAGGTGAGAGAACTTAAGTCAGCCCTATGTAATTGAGAGGGATATGAATTCACACCCTCCGATTTAACATGTAACAACCATTTAATTTCCAAACTGTATGGTGTAGGGCGCTCACATCCCCCACACTTACAAAGGACCAATGGAATTGTTTGACTTGCGTGGGACACTATTTTGTGCCAAGATTAATGATAATTTGGCGGAAACAATCGTAAGAATCTGGTCTGGTTGATCTCTAACATTCCCTACACAACCCTAGGGGTTAAGCTTGTGTACAGTGGAAGCATTTTAAGGCAAGACCTTACTTCGCCAAAGCATTGGATACACATGCAGGTGACAATGGCCAATGGCCAAATAAAAACGATCCAATGATGTTATGTGTGCTCGTCTGCGTAAACATAGGCTGTATAACTCAACTTGTAAAAATTCTCTCTAAAATACTAAACGGAAAGAAAAGAAAAACAGGAACACGGACGGCACCACACAAAATACCCGATGTTGGCCACAGTGGTCTGGCACCTTACCTAAACACAGCATCTTTTGTGGCTCTACATCATCTATACAGATGAGGAGAAACAAAGGAAACAATGCATGACAAAACATGTTTCCATAACATTCTGATGTAATATTAACTCTTGAATTGACGGAGTGAAGAATTTTCAAAAGTTCAAACTGAGTTCTGGATCAAAGAAGTTCTACAATTCTAATGCCAATTTAACTTTTCAACTGATGAAAAAAAAGTAAATTTATGCTACATGATTTAGTCTGCCACTAAAAGTGTCTTATTTAGAGTGAATTAATGAAATTTGTAGAAACTTTGTATTGAAATGTAATAATTTCATGACTAGGTTGTTTCCCCTTGACTGCTATCAAATAACCTGTACTGTAAAGGAAAACGGCCATCAAAATGGATAGGGGTGCCTTACACTTATTCTGCAGGTGAATCAGTGAAGGGTTAGTTGTAAAGTTGTAGATAGAATATCAGCGCAAACGTGTACAATAGTTATACCCACAATGTACCGGACAGTAAGGTTCTTATGATTTTAGCTATAAGAGGGGTCTAACTGTCTGTCCTTAGATAATCAATTCTTTCTACAGACCAAGCTACATTTAGATACTGACAGGATAATTCTTACATAATTTTCAGATTAACACACTTGATGAGACTGGAAATCATACAGATGAGGTAACAAGTTTGAAGCAAGTTACTGGTGTATCAGTTAGAGGGATCTATACCTACTGCTGGCCTAGTGTTATAACCTGTTCGACCCACATGTACCGGGGAAGTGTTATTTACAGCTAGGGTAGAAAGGGTCATAGCATGCCTCGCCCCTAAAAAACAGGGGTACACTCCTCACCTGGTCGTGACCCGATTCGTTGATGGCTTGCTGGTGAGAATGGTCCTTGGGATCCTACCGAGGAGAAACCATCATATTAGCATTACATTTTTAATTAGGTTTTACACTGCTATCAACAAAGAATTACTGACAGATAATGGATTTTTCTTCCCTAAGGGTGAAGTATATTATATCAATTCCCAAAACACATCATTATTGTCTAATCTTACCAGAATAGCAACACAAAATGGTTTCTTTGACTGGCTTAGTCAATTAATATTGTATACTCTATCACTACAAAGACAACATAGCCTGCAGATGTTACAGGATGCTACTAAATGTTAATTAGAAATACATCAGAGTACATGATGGATATGCAATCCATGGACAACAATTCTCTATACAGATACATCAGGGGAAATAACTCTACCTGCACACAAACAACATATGTACACTACAGATCTTTGTTCTGGTGCAGTGACGGACAAGATTTTGTTTGAGAGTTGTTGTGTCCTAAGGAGTTCTTTTTCTCTCAGGAGGAAGTATGGACTGTCCTTGGATTGCAGTACTCACCTTGTGGACTGGGCATTATGGGTGTGCCGGGTGGCCCTCCTCCAGTGGGACCCTGAAGAACACAATAAAAACAAAGTAAGCAAACTCCTGCTTAAACACATTCCTTTCTACAGGAAAGGAGAAATGAGAAATAGATTTACGGATATTGTAAAACCTTGTTATACTGCCACAAGTTGTTTTACTAAACAATTTTTGCATTAAAAAGGATTTGATGATAGATCAAGATAGAGAAGGGCATTAATATATTAATGTTTTACTGTATAGCCAAATCTGGATGCCTAAGTTGTAAGAAACAAGCAACTTCGACATGTACAAGGTCTTCAGTTACAATACACAGCAATAAGCTGCAATGAAATCAGGGTAGTGAGGTATTTGAGTTTATGACAAAGTTTCACAATCTAATGTACATATATAATCATTAAATCCTATTCGGACAAAGTCCAGCTTATCTCCCTTGGACCTTGTATGATTTGACTGCATGCTCATGTAGAGATCAAAATTTATTACTAGGAAAAACTATTACATTAGCTAGAAATGTTCATTAAAGACATGGCGACATATAGGTCATCTGGAAGATGAGGCTGCATCAAGACTGTCGATGCCTTTTACAAGCTCTGCAGCTGTAATGTGAGGTTCTGCTGCAATTATGCCTGTGTGTACTAATTCCCCGTCTAGATCTGTCCTAGTTGGAACATTAACCAACCATTGTATAATAATCCTACATCATCTGAGGATTTTGAGCACCTCTCCCAATCTACCCCTCATCAATCCCCATCTCGATTAGCATGCCTTACAAACATTATGAAGATGATGTGATTGATGAAAGTGATTCACCAGTCTGTCTATAGACACCGAGAACAAAAGGTTTAGAAAAACTGAAACACGCTGCCAAAAATATAGATGTAGATACAGACATCCAAAAATATAGCGAGGACTGCATATTACCAAAACGTACATATAGTATACTGTCACAGACTTTGGAAAAAATAAATCAATGGACTCACAACAACTCAATAGTGTCTGCATCCTATGGTTATCTACCAGCAGTGATACATACTTTGTAATTTTTATCACCAATGCCTTGAAAGTATTGACTTAAAGTATATTCGTTTTAACACTGTCAGGAAAGGTCTGTGTCTACCAGGCATGCTCTGTGTGACTTACATTAGCAGTCAGCAGTTTTTCAAAAATCTCAATATATTTCTGTAGGACTTCAATAACAGACATTCATATCTACATAACCATTTATTTCTCTTCCAGATAAATTAATATGTGTAACGTTTATTTAAAACAGTGACCTTCAAAATGTCTTGACTACAGTGTAGCAGACGCAGATACTTTACTGCATATCAACTGTTGCTATGGCAACTGACACCATCTAAACCTCTTCCTCATCAATCAGTCTTAACAAGTAACAAGTCTCAATAATTCAACTAATTACTCATGTTGCACACTTGGTTGAGAACATGGAAATGTGGATGGACCACAGAATTTTGGTGTTGACTGGACTTTGCTGACCAGACACCCCATAAAGGCGAGGTGTCAATTACCTTGACACCTCATAATCCACAGTCCGTTGGTGTGACCACAACCATAACCCAAGCCTGTCGTTAGCTCAAACTTGTTCACTTTTCAACATTAACTGACACAGTAAGTACTGACGAAGCCTGGACACTCGACCACACCAAAGGTCAACAGCCAATTAGGACAATTTAGTTCCACCAGAAGAACTGCCAGACAGATGCTTGACCACCAGGATTCGGGTCAACTGAACTCTTAGACACTTCAGTGAAACATACAATGCTATATTCTTCACTTGATTCAACCAAACATGACTTTTTTATAGTAAATTTGAGTTGTACAGTGTTTTCAGTTTGTCGCTGATAGATACTTACATTATAGCTACCTGGTGATGCTGATGAATAGTTTATCTGCAAAGGAAAGTTTTGAAAGTTGATGACCTTTCCATTTTGACACGACAGTTCCAACATTTGACTCTTGACTGATTCGTACGTACCAAATGGTACAGTATCCCAGAATATATTCTTTTCATGACAATTTTTTTTTGATAATATTTGATAACTAGAAACTGAACACAGAAAATCAGCCTAAATGATAGGACTTTGTATATACATACAGTAAACATTTGCTGCACATTTTCTCCGTCCTGAAAATTTAAGAAAGTAAACAGGTATGCAATGAAATGTATACCAAATTTATCCAGCAATAAGCCCATGCCTGGTAATAAGTCCACCCATATCTCTTGTAGTTTAGCAGAAATGCAATTAAATGCTATTTCTTTGTCCTGAAATAAGCACACGCACTACTTTAGGTAAGAGATTATGCCCTGGGCTCATTACAGGATAAATTGGGTAGTATCCCATGATTTGTGAAAACTTTTTTAGAGTGTAAAGCATTTACTTACAGATGATGTTGTGGGTGGCCATGGTCTGTTTGCTTGTCCCCCTGGCCCTGGCCTGCAAATATTGTACACAAGGTCATCAGGTTATGTATTACACACAAGGTCATATGTTATAAATAGGTCAGTCATAACCTCAAGAGCGCAGTCCTACTGTACAACAAAATTCAACCTACAGTTTTTATCTTTTAATTCCCGATAACTATATATTAAACATCAAAGTAGCTCCATGGATCGCCATACTTACATAGACATAGGGGGCATGCCCCCAGGTCCAGGCCCCCCTGGGCCCATACTGTTGGGAGGAGGTCCCCTCATACCACCCGCATAGTTAGGTAATGAGTCGTACTGAAATACACAAAATAAACAAATTTAAGCATCGTCAATGGTAAGAAACATTTAACATATCTAAAATATTGTGGTTTTAAACCCCGAAATATAGTCTGTATCGATGTTCATATTAACAAAATGGACTATATATGTCAATGATAATGAGAAACAGAAAAAATCCTTACCGGGTTCATAGGTCCAGGCATGCGTGGTCCCCCGGGCCCCATCCTTGGCATTGGTCCCATACCAGGATGACCTAAAACATACAAAAACACCACTCCATGAGTACACTGTAACCAGCCAGGCTGATGAAAATATAGGTAATACATAATAATTGTGTTCTCAAATTCAAAAGGATTAAATTTATTTTGCGAGCTAAGCTGCTTGGCATAAAGTAATGCAATGAGTAGTAGAACTCTCTGACCAGGAGTCCTCCATCTTAGAAATCACTAAACAGAAGTACTGATCCAGTATCCAATTCACTTTGATCAGCAACGGAAGCCTGTTCTGCCCTTTGTTAATTGGATTGCTGTGTTCAGGACTACATCACCGTGACTTTCATCTGACACAATACCTTGTCAAAGCGTTTAGGTCACAGCAGTACATTTCATCTGCTCTACTCAAAAACTCGGAATAAACTTTTTTTCTAACCCGTTAACACAACCCAAACACAAGCTGAATAAATAAGTAAACCATTAACAAGCAAACTTCATTATCTAAAATCACTTAACTATTTTGCTGAAGGGAAACAATTCTCTCGACTGATTTTAAACTGGCATGAATTTTGAAACAGGATTTGTTGATGTAGCGCCATGTCGGTGAGATAGGTGAGGAATGAGTGCAGACAAAGCACGACCATCAGTTTATGACTATGTGTCTATTTGTCAAACTACACTCAGCTTTGATCATGAAAGCCATTGATTAAATTTTGAAAATCCATTACCGATTTTATAGTTTAATTACACCAAGTTTTTTCCCCTCAACCAGTGAGTCCTGCGCGTAATCGGATAACTATTATCAAACGCTACACGTAATTCCTGCTTTCAACAGATATTTCTGTAGCCTGGGGCATCCATATCACTACTGAAAGCTTAACCAATTACAGTAAACAAAACAGTGACTTGTAAAAAGCCTTCGTTCACAGGAGTGCCGCACACTGCACATTATTCCCAACCATGCTGCAAAACATGACCTGTGGTTTTTTCAATCCGATATTTAAGCTTCCAATCGAATAATTTTGTATTCCCACTTCTGTCATTTTCAGCAGATCTAGAATTACATCATTTAAATTCTCTGTCATGTGGCCCGCTGTGTCACAGAATACTGTATACAGAGAAAGAGCTAGGCTGGTCACTGTCGACGGGATTTTCATTCGGTTCTCAAGCAAACAACGACATCACACCCCATACGTTGGAGGACGGGTGAGTTTTTTTTTCTCATCATCCTGGTCTTTATATAGCTCCTTAACTGTATTAGTTACCTGTATGACATGCTATGTAAAAACTGGGTAAGAAGATTTTACGATTTAATTTTTAGTGAATTTGGTTTTGATTTAAGAGATGATAACTACCAGTAACAAGGTAAGAGAGGCCATTCCATCTATATATATAGACACCTTTCATTCAGCAATTGTATTGACTTGCTTGGTTAGCTAACTACAGCTCAATTGAACCTAGATTTACTACTTAATTACATGTATTACAGGTACCTTAAATACAGGTATCTTACTTCTTAATCACAGGTATTACAGGTACCTTAAAACGGGTGTCTTACTTCTTAATCACAGGTATACAGGTATCTTACGTCTTAATCACAGATATTACAGGTATACATCACACGATTATTGAAGATCAATTGATGACATAACACTTCACGTAAATAGACCAGCAGATATGGCTGTTTGTACAAAGCTACAGTTAAAATATATATGTAGAAATGACCTGGACACACTGGGTAACTGTTATAAAGATTGTACACAAATATACACCGACCCTCTCAGTGTTCCTGAGGAGAAAACCATTGCTAGATTTAGTTGTTACCGCAAGCCTGTTTTTGTCATCATGGCAAAACTTTCTGCATCTCCAACACTTGGGGTACATTTGGTATACACATCACATGTGGGTACGTCTCTCACAAAGAAGATGGTCGGGAGAATCGGTCCATTCCTGGCACTCTATCTAAAGGCCCCCCAGCGAGTTCTCAACATGATAAGAATGAAGATGAAATAGAATTTACGACTGCACGAAGAAACATGGAAATGAGATAGTTTGACGTTGTACCAGTGTACACCAGTGTACATAGTAAATAAGACAACATACAAAGACTGTGGTGACGACTAAAAACCCAAACAATGTACACGGCTTTATCGCCTGGAGGGCAAAACACCATATTGGATTACCACAGCAACAGCAATATCCCCAAATATCGTAGGAAGTACTTGAAGTTAAAATGAAATTAACTTAAATTTCCTCCACACCAGATCCAATAATGGATGACGGAAATCAATTTTCCTCTAACAATTGGTTTCTAAATGGGTTTATTTGCTTCTATGGTTATCGCATGTTGCCTGGATCAGAAAGCTCTTCCCAATTTCACGAACAGTCATTTTAAAAAGTTTGCATTCAACTGTCCATATCTTAACATGATGACACAACTTGTACCAAGATAAGAAAGGAGTGGAACACGGTCTAATGGACGGTAGTGCCATCCAGTAAAGCATAGAAGTCTCGTAACACTTCTATCTATATGTTTATATGTAATCGAGTCGTCTAAATATGTGAATGGTTTGGTTCAACGAGTCGATATTACTTGTCAGAGTGTACGTACATGTTAGGGCCGCCTATCAAACATCAGTCTAATCAGGGATGCATTACTTGTTCGGTGATTGTAGACCTCAATGGCTCCACTATCTCCTGGTGATATTTTATATGGAAAACTATCCCCAACTCGACTGCCTCATCATTCACTACTACCAACTGAAAGGAGAACTCTCTTGTCAGTTTCGCAGAGTGAAAACATAAAAAAAAATCTCATTAAATTTTTAAATGAGAAAAAATGTTTTGATGATCATATGGAAATGTCATCCATTATGGATTTAAATTGGAATAGTGTGTTCCATTTGCTGTGTGAGGATTGCTTGGTGATGAGAGCTGTGTGGACAAGGAGACTTTACTTAGGGACATGTCTATCCCATTACGAGGACCAACAGTCAGAGTGTGACATGCTTCCGCTCGTTGTCGGAGTCATTACTATGATATGTTCCCAGTGTTTCTACTTCTTCATTTCGACACTGTGGGAATGGTATATCTAAAATGTGATGTAAATATTTCATTATGCCACAATGGGAGCATGTATGTGCATTAGCAGGCTAAACGAGGAAGAAATAAAAACCTGCCGATATATACAAGGTGTTGCACTAATAGAAAAGGAATGCAATGACTATCGAGCCGTAACTAATTTACTTGAGCTACTCCAGCAGATCAACCAGGGCTTCCTCTCTCCATTACAATGCTCTATTTCATGCCATGTAAATTGGTGTATAATTTACTTGAAGGCATGAGAAGCCAGGATTAAGTCATATACAGCAGTTATTTGCATTAGTATGTAATGGCAACTTCACCTAATGTACACACACATGTTCAAAACACAGGCAGACGGAGAGAGATGGAGTTCCACTGCAGTTAGAGAGCCACACTCCACAACGCAACATATAGTCGGAGAGGAGTTTTAGTGCATGTGGAAAACTTGAGAAACAACCAACCCCATGTTAAATCTTGGATAGCAAGGTAAGACATATGTCTACAACTATATCCAAGCATGTGTGTAGTAACTGGTCTTGTGATCAGATTCCTCTGACAGAAATAGTTGTATTAAACAAGCAATCCAATGTTTAAAGGTTTTATTTCCAGGTCTATTGAAAAATCGGTTTTAAATGTATGGCAAATTTACTCTAGATGTAACAGATGTCTCATAAAAGCATTGTAACTATTAAGTAAGTGCTTTCAATACAGAGAAGTATTTTTATCTACACAAGAAAAAACATTAACTATCATCGATGTAGCCGTAATAAACAACACAGGAGACCCATGAGCCTCGTAGATATATGCCTGTCTTTAACCTATCAGTCCTGTGTCCTGTAAGCCGTAAAACATGTCTGGGATCTCGTCTCAATCTTTGTGGACATATTTTTGACACGAGAAGTATAACCACCAATTAAAATGCAGATGCCTAAATCGAATGGCCATTGATAGACAGGTTGATGTGTGCCTACAGAGACATTATGTAGAACAGAGCCTAGACATCCCCTTCTTATTACACTTTATATTGGCTAAATGTACCACAACCTGTGTTCAAGGCTCCTGATTGACAATCCACCTAATTTGCATTGTGATTAGGTCACCTTTATTGTTTGTACTTGCACCCGAGGAAATTAATTACGTATGCATGATAACTCAGGTAATTACAGCTAATCATAGGTAATAATATTTTCTTTCATACAGATATTAGTGATTTTGCCAAATCAGTTTTGAATTCTATCCCAATATTTCAGAAAGTTGTCTAACAAGATTAATGCTGTAATCAAGACTGGTGGTCAATATGTGGGGTTAGTATTTGTCCTCGATTTGAGGGTGTAAGACTGTTTGTTGGTAGGAGATGTTCAAGGTTTGATTAACTCATTCACCCCTGAATTTCATAATGAACTATTCCAACCTTTGAATTGGAAGAGTTCAAATGTGTCTCCAGGGGTGAATGAGTTAATGCTGTATATTCGACTGGTGGTAAATATGTGTTGTAGATTTGAGGTATAATAATTTTTGCTGGTAGGAGATGTTCAAGGTTTATGGGGTATGCTACTGGTGTCAGTGTGTCATACAAGTTACGTGACTAGCGACACAATCTTTATTCATCAGACACAAGGTGCCGCTCTGTCGACCATCATAAAGTGTGGAACTCCGGAACGCTTGCTCCGGTCCATTGTCAGTGGGAATTCATCATCCAGGATTGCATTACAAGTTTTTTGTTGTTGCAGTGGATGAGCGGGCCATTATCAGTCTATTTAAAATGAGATATCTATCGCTTACATCTTTATGGTAAAGATTCAACATTCAATCCAATAAATAATGATGGCTGGCACACAAAAGCTTTTAGCAACAAGGCGACTAGCATTTCCGAGTTGTCAATAACACCCCAGTAGGGCAGGTCTTCATGAGGAAAGTTTATGGTATACCCTCACCAATCTCGGTACACATACACACACAGATAAACAAACTTTTTATTCCGTCTTGTCACAAACACTTGGTATTGAAGTTGGCTCCATTAACATCAGAACCCGCCAGTGTCGTTGGGCAAGCCAAATATCTCCAGGCCGTCCAGTCACCAGGCAGCGGTCTTAGACAGGCACAAATCCCATTTTGGAAGAATAACAAATAACGTTGCTTTAATCTTAATTCCGAAAATTGATGGTGATGCCTAGTCCATACGGACTGGAGCCCCTAGTCTCCCCCTCCAAGGTCTAAGTCATGCAATACTCGGCCAGGGTAATCCCCCGTGATGAAGTGACTTAAACACACAATATTGGCCTATAATTCTCCATGGGACCGGCTACGCTTTATCTGTTCCCTACAGAAGTTGGAACGTAAATGACTTTGTGTTGCCCAAATGCCAATATTTTCATAAGCAATTTTCCCTTGTCATTCCTGACAATCCCCACATCTCCAATGATTGCCTAACTACCCACAATGCAGCTCGGCACTCACAATACTCGCCGCTCACAATATAAGTCCTGTCAATTGAAATAAAACAAATTGTTCTCCTGTTTGATAATCTGTGGACCAATAATGTCTCGGTCTGAGATATGTTTAGAGAGACAGAACTTATACTTTGACAAGGATAATTAAAAATTAATATTTCCTAAATCCTGGAAGACTTCCTAGTATTTCATTGCTAACCCCTTAATTGAACTCTCGGAACACTATAGGCATTTTGTTTTTAATGTTGCCGTTGCTCCATGTAAATTCATCTCTGGAGACAGAGGATAGTTTTCAATAACTGTCAAGCACAGGGATTCCATTCCCTGACAAAGTAGGACAAGCATACAAATTGAAACACAACAGATTTTAATAACACTTGGATTTCCCTGCCTGGCAACTCCTAAGACTGTATACAAGGCGTAAAGGTTTCTATCCCTATAAGTGTTTAAAGCTCCTACCCTAGGCACATTGTTGTGTAGGCATCCTGCCTTCCCTTAGCACCGAGGCGTCTCAACCTTATCATCAAACACAATTATTAAGAAATGATCCCCAACTGAACAGCATTAATGACAAGAAACTGGAATTTGTAAAAATGCCTGAAATTGGATTTTCTGAAATAATTTATATGATAATTAGCCCTTGATCAGCCTCAAGTAGGAGATCTGGCCCCAGTAATCTAACTTTGTATTACCTTCATTGCCCGCTGCTTTGAGCAGCAATCTGATAAATTTAACATTCCTACAAGACACGAGCCGGCTCTTTGATCAACAATGAAACAACAATTGGGAGAAAGGCAGCCGCCTGGTGAGCTATACTTGTCATTCGTTGTGAGGGAATCCTTACTCAGCATAGGGGAGTACTGTTTACAAGACGAATGGCAAACATGGAGAATATCCGCCATGTCCTCCAAGTCTAATGGGTGTAGGGGCGGCATAAATCAAACATGCTTTTTCATGTGACAGCACAAAACTGATGACTCTCTTCAACGTTTTCCAGCGCTCGGTATTCATCATGTTCATCATTAATTCTCTATGGATTTAGCCATCCCAAACAAGAAGCCGTCAGCTGATAATGATATCAGTCTTGTGTCATACCAAATTGCGTAAGTATTCAATATCATATCTGTTAGACTGCCTCATGTGATAGAAGAATCTATCTTTTTTTTAAACACAACACGATAATTTGTTTGAGAATGAAGGCCTGTGATCTCTATAGTGTGAAGAATGGTCCAATCACTGGAGCTTGATATCAGAGAAACGGCTAGCCTTCATCTCCCTGGGTCACTTCTAAATGCGACTGGGCGCTTCCCTTATTGGGGTGCTAACCAAGACGTAACAATGTTACATCTGATATTGCCAAGTTGTGTGGCACACACAGGAAAAACACAATTTACGGGCTTCACTCTCACATTATTTCCACTCGATAAGCTGCAGCAAAAATTGGCTAGGTCAAAGTTCACAGTGGTTTCGACATTACATTGGGGACAGCAGACGGTAATCAACACGCTTGCATTATACCCTCCAGTATCAAGTAACTACTACATCAAGATGTTGCAGAAATCAAAAATTATTTTTGTCCCCATTTTCTCAAAATTATACCTAGCAGAAGATGACTTTTTAAAGCAGAACAATATCATGGATATAAAATGGTGCTGTTCTTCACTAGAACGCAGTGGGGGCGGAATAACTTATTGGTTATGCATACAGAATTTGACAAAGGGAGGTAACCAGTTTATCAGCAGGAAGTTAAACTAATTGAGTTTACATGACAATAAACATTACGCCGACCTAGCAGTTTTTGTACCTAGATGTGGTGACCCTGATGAATTGACACGGCTCTCGGTTCTGTACACATCTAGTTCGGTCCAGTGATGATCTTAGCTGATCATCAAAAACGCATGAATTGCTATTCCCGAGGCAAAGGACACTTCAATCCACTGCTAACCAAGGGGATATAAATACACTCAACAGTTTCATCAATAGACAACAATCTGTAGATCAATAATTTAAATCTCTATTAGTAAAGTAGGGCTGTTATAGACCCACATCAAAGACCTACTGGAACATGGACTTGATGTGATTATTTCCACACACCCTGCACTAGATTTAAGGGCAAGGGGTTTTCTGTATTAGAAGCGTCTGAGGAAGGAGGTGTGAGGAGAACCTCAAAGTTGTCTCCCCTTCCAAGACTCTCCCAATACGTACACATATTACAGAGGATACTTCAAACAGGAAGATGTTACTGTAGCCACCATCCTGAGTGAAACTTCATTTCTACATTGTTGCTGTGATGTATGTGGTTCCTTTTTTTCCAATTAAGACACTAACATCTTTAAACATTTATATCGCTTCTACCTCCAGCCAGATGTGTAAGTAATACTCACAAAAAACATGATTTAGTTAGTTTCTAGCCTGTACATTACCATAGCCGAACCTAATAGTCACAGCAGTTATTAGATTTCCCAAGTGCTCTCAAATGCCTTCTTTACAAATGTAATACATTTGCTCATTCAAAGCAACAATAAGTTTTTTGTAACAAGTGTCTGGTGTGTGTGACAGCAGTCTTTTGTACACCTAATATCAAATCAAAAACATTTTTTCCTGAGAAGTTTGTGATCCTAAATCACCTGGTGTTAAAAAAATCCCCAGTATAAATTACACTTTGACATAAAACCCAATTCAAATATCATGCATATCAAGTTGTTCAGATAGACTATATACACAGAAAAAAAATCACTGAAAATTTTCAAAAAGATATAAACAAGATAAACATCAGATAAATTTCATGACGGTAATAGGCTTATATTTGCAAGGGGATACGTAACCCTCCTCAGTTTCTCAGCATTATGAGTCTCGGCCCCAGGAGACAGAGTACTCAGGTGATCAACCTGGGAACATTACCTTATCTGATAAAGGCTCCTTAGATAATAATTATCAATTCCGTGATATAAATACCGACCAGGAGAAGCCGCGGTCTCTCTGGATCACAGCAGAGACATACCTTTGATATCGGTGACAGAAACATATTTCATTCCTTCATGAACGTCAGCAGGAATATTACACCTTGTTTAATCTCCCAGAAAACTCTATGAATGATGAATGATGACAATTTTTTTTCGGATATTAAATATATTCTGTCGTGCCTGAGATATGAGGGTGTGTAGTGTGGCTAGATCTGGGAGAGAGGATAGGTGATTAAGTGGTGGAATTCTGGCGAGAACAGGTGCAGCGTGCCGCCATAACAAGGATGTACACCGCGTGGTGAAGAGGTGTGAGCCAACAGTTCATGTTAATTTCATAAATGTCAATTTCACACAAGATTGTGACATGCGGAGTGATAAGCCTTCAACTTGATCAACGGTAAAACACTCAAACAGATCTACAGCAGAGAAAGCTCACAGCTGACGAGAGTCAGTGCCAGCCTCAAAGCTGAGGAGGGATTCTGAGACTCTCACAGCTGCCGAAAAACTCCTTAGCTACGACATTAGTGAGGCCATACCTTAAGAGATACTCAGTGAAGCTCATTGCTCAGGGCAATGTGAAGCCAGTAGTTGAGTAGGAGGCTCACTGTCTAGGGCAATGTGAACATCATAGCTAAAGAGAAGGAGCATGAGACTCAAATTGCTTGAGACACAACAAAGCTAAGGACACTGTTATAAGCTCTTAGATACACAGACAAAGTGAAACTAATAGTGAGGGAAATAGTGCAGCTTCACACCTAAGGAAGACCACCCTCCAGGAAGTCTCAACTCAGTGACAGTATTTTTGTCAACGAATATTTATCATTGTAACGAGTAGGAGCTATGACACTTCCATTTATCTTGTTCAACAACAAATGGGAATTAACTTTGACAGCTACCTAATGAAAGCTTTACCTTCATCATGCCGGTTTTGTAAATGGTTAAGTCATGGAAGCTAAAGTACACTAAGGTTATCAAGGTATGTATGATATTTAAAGCTGTCAACTGTGGTGAGAACTTATTTCTGAATTTTGTGTGATATCTAAAGCCTGTCAAAATGGAATTCCTCGTAGCTTCTCACAAAAGAGAAATGCTGTGTAAGCTATGCCACTCTTATCCTACACTGCGTCTACTTATTACACTTCCTGTCATTACCTTCCACATTTTTACAGACGCACCAAGGAATCAAGAAAGATGCAGAAACTTTTCTGATATTTTAGATAGATTATCAGCATTGCTGAGACAAGTTTATTTAGTCCAACAGTATTTGTTTGCAAACTTCTTGGATAACTGATATGAAAGATATTATTACAACCACAGGCAGAAAATACAATTCAAAGTAACACTCACACAAAACTTGACCATACTCATGGAAACTTAAAGATGAAGTACAGTGGGACCTTGTTGCATAATAAAACAATTTTTATTTACTAACAGAAATAAAACTTGATCCTAGTAGGCCTAGGACTACAGATGATGGACACGCTTTATGGTCGATACCAAGGGGAGTTCTGTGCATCAATCATAACCGTGGCATCACTTATCAGGAGATTTGGCTGTATTTATCAACAGTAGATAGACTGGTACTTACACTGAAGAGATATACAGCCCTTTCACATTATAGTATCGTGTACTGAAAAACCCTCACGACCATCATCCCCATCATGTTCTGGGGCATACAACCTACCACAATCAAGGGCAGACAGCCATGTCATATAAAGGGGCAGACAACTGTCTTAATTTGGAGGGATAAAACATTAAGGAGCTGACAATCCTGTCAATCTCAAGGGCATTCTTGCCACACTAAGGGGTAGACTCCCTTGTTGTACTCAGGGGCAGACAACTCAACATACTAAGGACCATATGACCCAGTCACATTCAGGAGATAAAAGAATAGTTATGTAACCCTGTTTCTAACCTATAATTGAATTCTGAGAGGAAAACATTTCTAAAGGTGTCCCTCTCCATTGAGCTCCCCTCCCGTGTACGATGTAGTGTGTATTGGCCACATAATGACCTCCCCAGGCTAGTTTCTCCCTCACATGTTTCTGTTGTACTGACTCTTGTTTATGTATTATGGTATTGATTATTTTCAAAAACGTAAATTGATCCAATTTAACTGAGTGGAAGCAATTATCACGCAACAGCATTAGGATTGCTGCGGCAACACTGGAGCTTCGACATCTCTCGAAATGGGGTAAGCACCCTTCTCGTTTATGGTAGACCTGCTACACCCCAGGCTCAAGTAAAAAAAGTTAACTACATGTGCCATAGCCCTTTTAAACTGTTGCACCACAGCTACTGGGCCGAGTTCTATAGATGTGAAATCCTGTACAATGTAACTTTATAAAATTGTTATGCCAGTAGCATTGGGTTTTTATCTCATACACATAATCCAGTTTGAAAGATATTGTTTAAAAACATTTCCCCCGACAGTCATTCAAGCTGGAACTCCAATGTGACTTGTGAGAGGAAAACCTCATGTCTGGCAATGCTAAGAGAATCGTTCATGTCATGCTAAAAGTATGTCATTAGCTCGAAAATGCATTACCAAAGAGAAGTACATGGTTAGATCTAAACTTGACAATAAGTGTTGTGTGGAGGATTGCTATATCAGTGTGGAGAAATCCTATAGTACAACCCTGCTAATGGCTCCACACTTTTATCTTTGAGGGGTGCTGTTCAGCATGCTATCAGGTAATGCATTGGCAAAGTCACTTTTCAATTAACCATAGTTGAATAAATTTGTTAAGATTTGTTACATATATCCTACAAGTTGGGATTCAAAATGTTCCCAAACAAATGAAATTGAATATCCATATTTCTAAATAATGCTTAAAATGTCATTTTGAAACTTTTTATTTCAAGATAACAAGACTTGTAATAGCAATAGGTCTCTTTAAAATACAATTGTGGTAAAATTCATTTATAGTTAAGCATCATAAACGTTCTGGTAAATTAACTTTGCACACAAATTGAACATTCCTCCATGCACAGCTGGTGAATGAGGTAGGCGAAGACAAAATTAATTGTAGCCACTTCAAGCTGTCCTGTAGCCTTAGACCAGCCTTACCAGGTTAACACGTTTAGCCCTTTGGAAATCACAGTGGTAGCGTGTTCTTATAAATCCTTGCTTGTTCCAGCCATTGCCATATCAGCCAAGCCTAATTATAGGGGGACTGTTAAGTGGGGGTTACCGACAACCTTATTAACCGTGGCCAAATCATCATATGTTTTTGAGCTGGTGTCATTAGACGTCCGACAGATTAAAACTTCAAAGACATCTCCAAGTATGATTAGTATTGTGCAGGCCCCAACAATGTAGAGCCATGCCTGAGAGGCCCTGATAATGTATAAGTGTCAAGTGTCATGAAATATATAACTTGGGTCCTTCAGTCGGCTGGCATTATTAGCAATGAAAAGGAGAATCATCACAGCGGTATTGGTGAATATTGTTCAAACGTGTAATGAATGAGATTTAGTGCTTGTGTTTTGCATGCTGAAAATAATGTCCGACAGGAATGTCAAGTCAACTATACATGATGTGGAGGAACAGATCAAACAGACCAAGCTAAGGATGGGGAGGCAGATCACATATCGCCTCACTGGAACAAGTCCATTTATCTAGGGCATTATTGAATGGTTTGTATTCTGTAGATAAGACCACAGTAATACTGATTACCCTGGAAAGTGGCAGGCAGCACAAACCAGCAGCTTGTACACCTGAAGGACTCTAATGCATTAAACTGCCACGGGTTGATAGAGTTGTTTTTAACCTACAGTGGATATGTGGCGTGTTGGACAGAAATGGAGAAGCACTTACTGAGTCCATCTTTGTGGCCCTGGAGGCAGTGAAGGGATTTAGACCTGTACAAGCACCTGTTTTGTGGGAGGGTGGTGGTAAGTCTGGTGTGGCCAGTGATTGGATACAAGCCCCTTTCTCTCCTCAGCAGTCTCCAGTGACAAGCTGCCTGGGAACTTCCTCCAATATCCCAGTCTGCACTGGATACAACATGATGTATGACTTGTGAAACCTGCAGATGGGGAGATCCTCCAAAGCCATACAGTGTGTGCTGGCTTCCTAATGGACAAACTCACCACAGCAGTAGGAGGACTCCAGCTAGCTACACAGAGAATGCCTACTCTACACCTCTGGTCACTGATTAACACTGTTCATAATGCCTTGATTACATTGTGCCAGTATTCCTGTTTTTCGCTGGTGATTCTGACCAGGAAAACCTACAGAAAACTTGTCACAGGTTTACAAGCTTTGACAGCCACTGAAAGGAATCCAATGTCAACATTGCTGCTGTTTTTATTGCCCTCCTTTACTGAAGAGTTCTCAAGAGGGGGTAGGCTCGCCTCGCACTATGATATGATGCAGAGACAGATAACTGTAGCTATGTTATTTGTTACACACAAAAAAACTCAGATGGCGATGGATTTTTGGTGGAAATTATTCGTAACCAAGGTGTAGTGAACTTTAATATTCATAGTCACTTGGGCTAAAGATATCCAAGTGGCAGGCCATGGATAGTGATGGGCTACACATCACATCACAGGCCTCCCTGTACCAAATGGGTCCAGGCCCGATAGGCTTGTCTGTTCTGGACACTGGTCAAATCTATTATTAGAGGAGATGTCCTGTCCAGAGAGTGGGAAAGGTTCAAAACTGACCGATAACATACACAATAGATGGGGCTCATCGTCAGCAAAGGAGAACTAGTTCTGGATAACCTACCAAGGTAACAACTTTCTATTTAGTATTACAAAGCGATTGTATTTATACACAAATTATGTCCAGATTACACCACTAAGACACATATTCTAGAGAAAAGCAGCGTTATTAGTGCAAAGCTTTCAAGGCATTTTATGCACAAAACATGTAAATATTTGCCTAATGTTGAGCGATGTTTGAAGATAAAGAGAGGTAGGTCAGATTACATGAGTATTTCAATTTGATTTATTTGACATGTGCCAGCCATCTGTTACTGCATTTATTGCCTGTTGTCATGGCAGAAATAGATGAAGATAAACAACATATTCAAAGAAGGCAATTTGAAACCAGGAAATATGAAAAGGAAATATTGTATGGTGAGTTGGTGTATATATTGTCAAATTAATGAAACAGCTTTCAGGCTGATACACCACATGTTGCTCAGCTTTATCACGTGAATCAAAATATGTGACAACAGAGATGGTAGCCGGGGCCTTGGTTACCAATCACTGGACCTAGTGATGGGGCTATTTACATTTATATAGGTTTGTTTAAATAGCTGTATGCCTTTCTAATGGGCCACAAAGTAAACCAGCACAAACGGATGTTGAAAGTTCTACCACCATCAGTAACACACACAACATGGCTAATTATTTCATGAAGAGATATCTGTGTCCATCTGAAATGGCTCCAAGACATACAAGCTAGAGCCCTTCATCTTAGGACATCATCTACAAGAAACCTGTTCCTAGAAACATCATCACATCATCACCTGCTTGGATGTGGACAAGGTAAGATCTAGCTAGTCTTCTGGCTATCCAAACCACACAGGGAACAACTTGATTTGTATACGTTCCTTACTGTAAAGACCAGTTGTTATAACCGTATCAAATATTTCAGATGTACGGTATACCTCTACATGGTAAAGCACAATTGTACAATATATTATGTAATGTTTAGTTACACTGAATTATATAGAGGTAAGTGGAAAATTAAATGTTTATTAGGTAAAGTCTAATTTGTATCATAAAGGTTCATAGGAGGTAAAGTGAAATGTACATTAAGATAAAGAAGTAAAGTATAGGTAAATTGAAAATGTACCATACTTTTGGTAAAGTGCAATACATTAAATAAAGTGTAATTGTGTATATGTTATATGTGCTGTGCTCACATTAACAGGTCTTCCTGCCCCATGGAACAGCACTCAGCTTTATCATATACTGATAAAGTTACTGTTTCTGAATGGAGCACACAAAATCAGTTTATTTTCTTTCTGAAGGTAATTATCTGTGTAGTTAATATTCATAACTGTATAGAGAAGAGTGGATGGGCTGTCTGGGGCTTCACTAAGATATTGGTATGTATAATGGCATCGAGATATTATCTCTCCTGTTTCTTGTCAATCAAATCAAGACATTGGAACCCAGGCAAGGCCTACGTAGAAATCACATGTTATTTGGTTTCCTCTGTAATTACATTGTTTTTTCTCTTTGCATGCAATTTGTTTTGCTTGGTAACCAGATAGATTTCCTCTCCATTTTTTTTGCCTGGTATGTAATTTGTTTTGGTGATTGAGTATGTTGATTTTTCCTTGTACAGAATGTAGAATTTTTTCTCTCCTGTATGGTAAGTTGATTTCTTTCCCTTGTAACTATGTAGATTTTCTCTTTTCTTTCTTGCGTTAAATGGCCTTTGACCCAGGAAGCCAAGTATAGCAAGCAGTCCAAGGTTAGGTGTACTGCCCGATTGATGAGTGAGAGTCTGTCACTGGTCATGGTGTGGAGTCTGACAAGCCTACTGGGTTTGTTGTCCAACTCAACATTACCTAGACAGACAAGTAGTGTCACAGGGTTAAACCTCTCCACAAGTCCAAATAAAGTACCAGGGCTACATCGCACCTCACCATCATTTCATTTTTCATGTATTTCCAGGAAATGGACACCACACCAGAAGACTGTAGTCCAGACATACCAACAAAGCTACTGATTGACATCATGGACCGTAACGTGACAGCACCAGACATGGGGATGCTAGGGTGTTATCTCCCATTTCGGTGGTACAGAGGAAGGATAAGCCTGGCTAGGAGCCGATACACCTGTCTACCTGTTAGTGTGTTCACCTATGGATGAACACCATGATAGGTGTAATACCTGTGATAGGTGCAGTACCTGTGTAGGGCCACACCTATGGATGGAAACCATGATAGTTGTAATCCCTGTGATAGGTGCAGTACCTGTGTAGGGACACTCTTATGGATGGACACCATGATAGTTGTAATGCCTGTCATAGGTGCAGTACCTGTGTAGGGACACACCTATGAATGGACACCATGATAGTTGTAATACCTGTGATAGGGGCAGTACCTGTGTAGGGACACACCTATGGATGGAAACCATGATACTTGTAATACCTGTGATAGGTGCAGTACCTGTGCAGGGACACACCTATGGATGGACCCCATGATAGGTGTAATACCTGTGATAGGTGCAGTACCTGTGTAGGGCCACACCTATGGATGGAAACCATGATAGTTGTAATGCCTGTGATAGGTGCAGTCCCTGTGTAGGGACACACCTATGGATGGAAACCATGATAGTTGTAATACCTGTGATAGGTGCAGTACCTGTGCAGGGACACACCTATGGATGGACCCCATGATAGGTGTAATACCTGTGATAGGTGCAGTCCCTGTGTAGGGACACACCTATGGATGGACACCATGATAGGTGAATACCTGTGATAGGTGCAGTACCTGTGTAGGGAAACACCTGTGAATGGACACCATGATAGTTGTAATACCTGTGATAGGTGCAGTTCCTGTGTAGGGACACCCCTATGGATGGAAACCATGATAGTTGTAATACCTGTGATAGGTGCAGTACCTGTGTAGGGACACACCTGTGAATGGAGATAGTAGGTGAAGCCTGTGGATGATACATGGTGTACGGATAACTTGTGACAGGTATAATACCTGGAGATGGATACACCTGGCCAGTAATTAGATACAATTTGTGTGCTAGGAATGTGTTGTTTATTCCAATGTTTATCTGTGGTTCTATACAGATATGTGGGGAATGTACCTCGTGTGTTTTGAATATAGTTTTGCCTGTTATTCCAACATGAGAAATTTCGGATTTATCTTCTGGGATTAAACGGGAGGCTTAAACCAACATCATGTCTGCAAGCCTCCACACACACTTTGTCTAATAAGGTAAGCATACACCTTTTATTCAAAAACCATATTTCAGTTCCACAATTTTTTTCTAATAAAATAATTTACATTCTAGACAGTCTTGTTGCCAACCTTTTTTCCCTGGGGTTTCCACCCTCTCCAGTTCCCCCTTTGAGGCTGTCAAGTAATTGAAAAGATCATGCATGCAATGTCTTGGACGAAACAAGCTCGGAACACAGAAAGTCTATAACACTTGGGCCCAAATAGCATTAGTGATACAAGAGGTTAGCGTAGTTGCTGCTGCGACTAAAAGGCTAGATTCTTTAGTTATTGTGGGGTATCATTTCATCAGGCACACGATCAAAGCCCTCCCACTACATTAATCAAACCTTTACCAACAAGTCAGTTCAATACACTGGGATACTTATCAAAGGAAGTTTTTACACAAGAGCTATTGGACTCTGTGCAGCTACAGATACTACAATGTCTCCACTGATCAAAAGGAATCGCAGATAGCATACAGGGCCACAGAAACAATATACCACCACTACAGGGCATTACTCTCAACTAGGCTTTTTATACTCTTCTATATGAAATTGGCTCACGTTCCATGCCAACGATAAAATTCAATAATGATCATTTTAATATCAAGTTGTTCAGATTTATTCCACAATAATTGCCTTGCTCTTGATGAGTATGGCCAGGCTTGTGTTGTCATGCTAGTGGTGATGCAGGTACGAGAACGGATTACATTCTTGGCTTCATTAGCGTATGACAGCTCATCATGCTAATATGACTAACTTAACGCAGGATATGTGCTCGCTGGAACTTTCACATTTTTTCCCCCTTTTCTCTTTTGCTTTTGCAAATTAGAGAAGATTTTATCTGTGCAAGCAATTAGCTTTAGCCCGTGTCTTCCTTGTATGGGCACTGGTGTAGTTTCCAGTGTCGCCATCAATACGGCTAAGGATCCTCCTCAGGTATAGATACACGCATGCATGCTTTGTACACAAAAATGTATATAACATTCATTGTGAATCTATTCCCCGTCAAATTTCACTACGAAGTAAGATTGGAAGTGTGTTCTGGCTCCCTGTTGATAACCACATACAACTTACGCCTTTCATTTCTCCTGCAATGTCACTGATATTTATCTCTTTGTGAGAATGTGATAGGGAAATGAATGGTAGACTACTTGTGCTATGGACGTCTCCTCCACTTGAGGGTATACACAGTGTATATTGGTCCCCCATTACACTAAATAATGGATTAACATCCATTCAATAGCCTGAGGAGCTCAGGAGGGGAGAGAGGGGAGGGGGTAGAGGGGAGGGGGTGGTATTGATATTTACACGTATTACACACTATATCATATGCCTCCTTATCTAACAGGTGTGGCCCCATTCAGCGATGACATCAATTTTTATCTGGCTGGCTATTCTAATACTTAAATACCTACACACTTCTCAACTTTATCGATCCTGACATCCATATCTAACTGATAAGCAGTTCTTGTATGAAAACATTGGATAGCAATATCAATTTCATTCCTACAGCAAAATCACAAACTTCAATCAATGTTTCTTACCAAACACTCAAATCAAGAGTAGATTTCTGAATTCATCAAATTTGAAATTGACAAATTGTATAGAGGGCTAAATTTTAAAGCCCAATCGATATACAAGGACAAGTTCTCCTCTTCAAAGCCTGGCCATCCTATATGCAGGGTGATCAATTCGTCTCCTGTTCCCGGTATTCTTGACAATCTGTGTAGTACACTCAAGCAAACTCAAGCCAGTCTGTCATTTCTAAATTATCAATTGCTTTTACAATTGTTGGACAAGCCAGAAGGCAGAATTGAGTATGATTAGGGGATAGCGATATTGTCTTGTGACTAGAAGCTGTCACCACCCTACCCCCTCCTTCCCCCTACCTTCTCCGACAGTCCAATTCCTCTCCCAAGGAAAATCTATTGGTTTTCATGTAGGGCAGCATGGAGAAGAGACCAGCAATCGTTTTGATTAATGAACGCTCTATTTTCCTCCTGACAGCCCTATTTCAAGCCTGATCGGCAATAAATGCTTTCAATAATGGCTGCTCCAAAGAATCAACAGTAGATATGTAGAAATAATGGGGGATTTGCTCTGCTATCTATACACTTGTGATGGCCATGGCTTCAGGCAGGGAGATACAACCAGACCTACTGGGAGGGACGACACAAGATTGCTATAACCTTCGGGGAAGGAGGTTGGAGCCTGCCACAGCTGCTGATGATGTTATACAAAACGTTTTGTGGTAGTTATACGATGTGCTGAATGTCATCATTTGTTGAGAGTGCTACTTGAATCCCTCTGGTAACCAGCCTGTTTTACAGCAGGCTGATCCATTGTCAGGCCGTACTCTTCTCCACTAGATTGCTGATGGTATTTCCATCAACTATGGGGAGGAACCAGCTACTTGGGAGAAGTAATCAAACAGTTCACAAGGTAGGAACTCGTCTCTGATGAAATATCTTTTGGTTTTGGTTGGCGAATCGTTCATGTCTTGGTTTCAGCAGATAAATTGGGACAAAGATTTGGTTTTGGTGATAATTTCTGTCACCAAATCAAAAAAAAATTGGACATTGTACTCAATTTTGTAACATAGTCTTTTACATAATATTTCACAAAGTTTGTTCGTAATCTTAGTTATCTTTGCTTCCATGATTAAGCAGACATTGATGGTTAACAACACTAATGTAACGGTCATTCACTCCAGAGCTGATATATTAGTAATTGAGGATCAACTTCAGTTGGTTAATCTTAGTGGCCATATCTACCTGGAGACTCTTGTCCTGGCCTACCATTCTGGGGGATAGGGTGCTTGGTGAAATCCCCACTGTGCAACACACACCATTAACATTCCTTGTACGACAACCTGAAGCCTTTAAACATCCAACAACCTCTTCCATTCAAGAAAGTAACTCAGAGGCTTAGGAATGCTTCATTAGTCTCTGCAAGTGTCCCTTGAAGAAATGTGTTTGAAGTTTTTCTGTGAAAGTCCATTAGCAGGCTACAAATTTCCCCCAACAATATTTACTAAGCTCCTTGTGTACAGTTTAACTTGCTGAGAAAACACACAACAACAGTCACAAAGCTGTATGGGGAGAGTTGACCTTGCCACTGTGACCTTGAAGATTGTATCAGATCACTACTATCAATATTGGGGCTTTACTGTAATCTGACAGGAAGTTGTACAAGTCAGTTGTAAAGACAGGTTTTTTACATATATTGCTGTTTGCCACAATGGCAGGCACTATCACCATGTTCAGCACTGGGTGTCAAATCAACTCCATATTGGTGTTAGAACAGAGGTCACCATGGTATGTAAATTTGCAGGGGTCAAATGTCATTGAGGTCACTTACCTGGTCTGGGCTCCATGCTGTTCCCCATTGGCATCTGGCCTGTGCCGCTGTTCTGTAAGGTACAAATACAGTGTTAGTCCAAAGCTGACAAACACCAATACTTGTGTGATATAATAACTGATATTGTGGATTTCTTTCACTATGCTGTCAACACCGGTAGAGGATCTGTGGAACTCTTCTTTACAACAAGGACATTATACTACATCAGGGAAAAATTTACATGGTAAGGCATTCAATTTTATTGTAAAACATGTGTCTTTTAGTAAGTCTATAGTGTTTGGGCCTTGTCAGAGATAACATGCTACACCTTTGTCTTTTAGTAAGTCTATAGTGTTTGGGCCTTGTCAGAGATAACGTGCTACACGTTTGATGGGTGTTATCATATTTGGGCCAAGATGACATCATCCATGAGGTTGACATATTTGGGCTATTGGTGCATAGCATCTTTGGTAACTCAAACAGCTACCTATCTGGATAGGTAGTCCAGAGTTGGAGTTATGGGACCTATTTTAAATACAGTGCATTTATTCAAATGTCTTCATTAAACTAAAACATAATGTGCATGGAGACGCAACCACCTGACCACAAAATATCTTTTCATCTCTGTAACATTCAGATGTCATATGAACATGTAACTGTTCCAGTATGACCTTTCCATTGTGATACGACAAGCGGTCCAATTAATGTCACGAATAACAGACGTGACAATATCGGATCAAGATGGCATCAATGACAGCCGAATAACTGTTGGAGAAAATGTTATAATGTTTTAAACTTAAAAAGAACCAGGAATGATTTTCCATTTCATATGGAATTTGTGACTCTCATCTTGGTTAAACCTTGTTTATGAAAACCTCTGTACTGGTTTATAAAACCTTATTCTCCAATGACATGATAAGTCATTTAAATATCCTACATAACATTTTAGAACCTTGAAGATAAAACTTGAGGTAACATTTAAGCTAATAATTCTTTGAGCAAACATTAGGTCCTGTTAGGTCTTATTCCTAAGCTGTAGTCTTATAATTACTGTTTAGTGTGTTTAATTTTCCTGTGATTTCGTTGAATGCTGCGTGTGGAGATTGGTATTGTAATTTATGTACCCAAGTAACAATTGACCACTAAAATATGGCCATCAGAAGTTGGTCATACCTGCTTTACTCGACAGCTCTTTTTAACAGATAAACTGATAGTTTTTTTTATCTCATCCATTTACACTGTAACACACAATCATACCTTTGTCACCGAGACCAATCAATTTTTGTTGTAAATAAACTGTCATTGAGCTGTGCCCTGTACAGGTAATTGACGTCAAGTACTGATGTCCATTGATGTTTCCTCAGACGAGAAGGCCACTTATAATCATCCCATAAGTTTGAAGTGCAATTACATGATACCATAGCAGTTTTTGATGATAACCCGATAGCAGTATATTATTTCTATGTGCACCTGTTCTTGGTTTTTTCTAATCTAGTGTGCCTATTTATTGTACCGTTGGGATTAGCTTTCACAGTCAAAAATATCTTCGATTCATCTGGACGGCTATTTTTTAATTTCAGAAGTGTTCTCAATTCATCTTGAAAGCTATTTTTTTAAAAAATATAAGCGTTCTTTTTAAATATTGGAGTGAACATACTTTGGTTGTGATTGGTGTAAAGACTTGAGGGTGGGAAGAGAAAAGACAGAGTGATTTACTTAATTACAGAGGCTACCAGAATAGGCAGACAATTTTGTTATCTTAATTTATATTGGGGTGAATTTGAGTTTTGATAAAACATGAAACTTTCCAGAGAAGTTTAATTCAGAAGCTCTATTACATTGCTAATAATTTTATATTTTTCAAACTTGTTTGGAGGTTAAAATATCAAAGTTATTTTTTGACTTTACTTACATTGAAGTCTACTTGATTAGGTAATCGCACTGACCCAGGACCTCGCGGACCACCTGGATATCGCGGTGACATAAATGGCTGAAAATAGAAAATGACTTCATTAAATACCGTTTTATTAAAGCGATATGCTACAAATCTGACATGAAACATTTCAGTCACCAATTCAGATGCTAAAAAAAAATCATTATTTAGTTACATTTTGAATTACATATTCAAAGCACATGTTGATAATTCTCCTGTGATTGATGGTTAAATCTATATAAGGGGATAAAACAATATCATTACCATTTCACAAAAATGTTTTATGAGAAAAGATAATGAGCAAAAATATTTGCACATTTTAAACATTAGCTTACAAATTCTCTTAATGAAATCCTGACAAAAGCAGCTTATTTATGAACAAATAAATTATGACACAAAAATTACACCAAACATTGTTCTCTCACGACAAAATTTAATAAATCACACACACAAAACTCTTTTTGGCCTCTCTTCCCCGCAATATGAACAGAAGCTGATCACAATTAAACATGAATAATCAAAGGCATTACGACGTCTGAAATAAATATATAGCCCATACATCAAGCTGAGTGACAGGCTGATGAACAAGCATGTATTTGTATTGACTGGTTAAGTTTTTTTATGACCATGAGATTCATGTGCATAGGTATGCATCGTATGCCCACATCCTCCTTAACTTGTCTTTGTTACACTTAATAGCATACAGAATGCCAATAGGTCAAACTGATCATGCAAATACATGTAGATAAGTTTCCAGGCTTATACACTGATCAATCCCAGAGTTTTTTTTGCGTGCACCAAGACTCCTTTCCTTTCTACCTGGTCTGAATCAATAGGCACTAAACACGACACACGTTTTATATAAGGCCCCAAATAAACTCAATTTAGAATTTAATGCCTAAAGGAAACAGTCTATGAATATTAAACTGCCAGCTGAAGATTTTGTAAATACGTCTTTCACAATATTCTATGGAAATATTCAACTTGTAAAATCTAATTATCAACTCACATTTTTCATTGGCCAACAGTGTTTTTGAAATGAATAAAATGAATACTTTTCCATTATTGTTAACACAATGACTTAAACGCAAGAAAACGTCATTCTTAAAAACGTGGTCTGGAGAACTAAATTTAAGATGGCGTCAGCACAGTAATGAAAAATAAATACAATTATTCTGGAATTACGTCAGGATCTACTGACAGTAAACATTTATTTTTTCTAGCTCACACTTTTAATTTTCTTTCCCTACAAGTTCTGTCATCAACAGAAGATGCCACAAACTCTTATCCTTGTCACATAGACTTCTTAATGTTTAGATTATTCTTTGTCGCAGGTTTCTTGTGACTCATTTTCTTTTCTTGGCAACCTTTGTCAGAGATGCTTGAAATCTTAAAAAATATTGCACAAGTTGATAAACCTTTGTCATTTGGACACTTGAAAGATGTCCAATTCCTACCCAATTTTTGTTTGCTTATTCTTGCAAGCTATCAAATCTTGATAATAAAGATCAGGAGAGGACGGCTTTGTGCAACAACATGTTGATTACAAGATGACCAGCATGACTACGATTCATCCTGTTCAGAGAAACAATTTACTCTCAAGTAACGATTCCTACTTTGGATGGGAAATATCTCATCATGGCTGTATTAGAGCATTTCCTCTAATGGTAGCCATCCATTCTCCAGGGACAAGAATGCAAGGTAGCCATTTACTCTCATGATGATGACATGACCTTTGACCTACTTGACAGGACAACCATCATTCCCTACTCGATCATTGTAATGCTCCATTTTCCACTCGGAGTAAAACAATCATTGTAATGCTCCATTTTCCACTCGGAGTAAAACAAAGGACATAATGTAGTTTTAGAAAGTGCTGCCATCGCCATGGTTTCCTGTCAGGAAGCCATTGGCTGTCTATTTGCCATGCCTCTCCTCACTTGGCCTGTCTGTATGGCGTAACCTGCAAGGTGGCCATTACCCAACCTGTCATGGCCGCTACTAGCACTTCACCAGCCATGAAAGAGCCATACGGTGGTGGCCAGGGTTTATACAGCCAAGTCGAACTATCCTCCTCCGTAACTTTATGTACTACCTGTCATTGAAGCATTAAATTGTCAACTCTCCTGGGGTGTACAGTAGACATCACCACGACTTAATTGTACTCCCAGTAGAGTTGAGTTCTTATCTGAAGTGACAGAGCTTTCAGGTGCCAAGGGCAGTCACATTTGATCAACTAATTCCCCCATTGTGTTTCTGTTTTGTCTCCAATCATAGGGGAGCATAAATACATTACAGAAATCAGTGTTCATTACAGCCATTTTTGTTAAGCATCAAACACATATCCACAAACATCAATTATGTAAAAATAAGTTCCAGCAGCAGTGTTTCAACTGACATTTTGTCATAAAAATTTTGTTCCAACAACAGAAGAACTACTTTTCACATAACATAAGTTCACAGTGTCCATAACATTGGAACCATCCTTCTCACTCATCCCAATTTTGGGAATGGATGATCTGATTGTTCCCAGCCCCCACCCCCCATTCCTTCAAATAAATGTTGAAAAATGCATGAAAGGTTTGTTGTTGGGCTGAAGAAAACATTGAGAGATGGCACGTTTCCATCATGTGCTTCATACAGCTTGCTTCCAAGTAGTTTGAAAAAGCATACTGGTATTTTTTTCCAATTTCTCCTCACTAAAATTTATCGTTCACAATGTAAATGGAGATTTTCTGTAAGAAGCAGTACAAACGGGCTGATTTTGTTGTGATAATGTCTATTTGCATCATTGCATGTCATATTGAAGGTCGAGTGAACTGGCACACATAACCAACATGTCATACATAGCAAATTACATCACAGCAAAACAGCTTCCAACGAGTCCCCCATTTGGCAATACAAGCTTCCGTAATTCATTAAAAGCTGAGCAGTGGAAACCAGGGGAGAAAAAACAACTTCACAGGAAATGTAAAGGGCTCTGATTAAAAGCTAGTAAAACTAGATGTTTTCTCGAAAATGGAGATCATTACCATCCAGATATGTAATAGCTTTCAAAGTACCACCAGGAACATGCACATGTAATTACGGGCGTACATGTACTGAACACCTAACTCCCAAAGGAGAGCTGGAAAATTCCAAGTGCATACAACACAGGCTGTTTTGTTTGATCAAGTGTTTCCCATTAACCATGGGTTAAATACAAGCCAAAAAACACTTTTTCCCTAGAAACCAACACTACTCTCTATTGAAATCAAGTATAACACGGCTGTGGGAACTATTTAAAAAAAAAATACTACTCAACAATTCTAACACTTCAGTTGGGACTATTTTTTTTAACTTGATTTGTCAGTTGTTACACTGCTCTGGGAACTGTATCTAACTCGACTTACTGCATTAACACTGCAGTGGGAAATTCTTTTCAATTCCTATTTGTCAATTGTAGTGGAAACAATTTTTCTTTTACAATCTCCTTGTCACTTGTAACACCATTGAGTGTAACTTGACTCGTCAGTTGTAACGCGAATGTGGGAACTACTTTCACTTGACTCGTCAGTTGTAACATCATTTAGGGAACTACTTTCACTTGCCTCGTCAGTTGTAACACCATTTAGGGAACTATTTTCACTTGACTTGTCAGTTGTTACACCATTTAGGGAACTACTTTCACTTGACTCGTCAGTTGTAACACCATTAAGGGGAACTACTTTCACTTGACTCGTCAGTTGTAATACCATTTAGGGAACTACTTTCACTTGACTCGTCAGTTTAAACACCAATGTGGGAACCTTTTTATTCTTTTTAATTCTACTGATGGGTTATATCAATCCTGAATGAACAACTTTTTCCTTCTGACTTGGCAGGATGTAAATGAAGGTTCTGTTTTACTCCACATCGTAATTCCACACCAAATTTTTGTTTTGAACTGTTCTTTAGATATTAATGTAATAGCAGACTTTAATGGTGGGGTGTGAATTTTTGTGTTGATATTATCATGATTCCTGACAGACATATGCCAGGACATGAAGATCCTGTTAAGATTTCAGAGTTAGCATCTATCGTGATCCACTTCGGGGATTTATGTATATTATGGGGCCGTTGTTTTCTTCAGATTTTGCAATCAAGAAACCAATATCAGTCTTGTTGTTCTCAAACTCAATTAATATAACATCCCCAGAATCACCATTCCGTGGGTGCAGGCTAATACACCACAGCTGCCTTGCAATTCTGACGCCTGATATTTTCTTCATTACCAATCTGCAATACCATGATAAATCTGAAAGCTTTCCGACATTCTTAAGAGGATTTTTGTCTTGATTCCTCAATCAAAAGAGAAGAGGTATTTTCTCTTGTGAGAAATACATTTCTGGGCAGTGTGTATGAATCTGACATATGTAAATCTATCACCAGTGTTTGCATCCTATAGGATTCTGCCTGTTTCTAACAAGTGTTAGTATTCTGATTGACGTCCGGCCTCTTTAGAAAATTGCTCAAGCCTTCATGACTTGATTCCTTACTATGCATTCCAGTCAGAATTTCCCCCCACGTTTTTCTACCAATTAATTGCTTGCAGCACGGTGGCAGCGACCCCAGCTTGTATCCTTTGACGGAATACAAAGCAATTTGCAGTATTATCCCCTACATGTAACGGTGGAGATAATTGTCCCATCATCTGACTAAACCTGGTCCAGTCCTGCAAAGCACTTTGTTTGATTTATCAGTAAATGTTTATTCAAAGGAATAGTGTCCCATCAATACTGGTCTTTGATATCGTGCCATTCATGTGAGTAGCCCAGTAGTGTTAAACATTCCATTTATACTGGTTACCCTCCACAGCCATAGAGGACGACACTTCATACGAAATTCTACTGGCGTGTGTCTAGTACACAAACAGGTGCCCTCATTACAAGGTGACAGGAGTATTGTGCACAGAGGATATTAATGGGAGGCAACATTTTCTGACTGAAATTCAAAATCGTTAAGTAGTTCTCATTGGGGTATAGGTTCCACTGTATAACATCGTGCAGTGATTGCAGACACACCACACAGAATGCCCAGTTGGAACGTTGATGGAATATTTCATCCAGGCTCAATGTGAACATTAATCAAATACAGTATACACAACACTGGGGGAAAACCTAATCAGCAGAAATCATTGCATTACTGGCTAAACGATAAGTGCGTTAAGTGATTTACGTTTCACCAATGAAAATAATTTTCAACATTCATTTAGTTTATCTGTGCTCCATAACTCCATTAGCCAAGCCGATAAGTTAATTTGCCTTAGAGTAAATGTCTTACAAATTTTCGATGTATGAGAAGAGATAAAAGTAATCTAAAAACATGACTACCATTCATGGCTTTGTGAAATTGAAAATCAGGAGTACGAAATCAATTCTGTGTTGTGTTTGTGAATAACCTCTGTAGCATTAACTTGGTCGGGAAAGCCCCTAGTTGGGTGTCAAGTATCAAACTGCACAAACCCCAATAAATTTGTCCATTAAAGGCAAAGTGAGTATAATAATAAATTACTTAATTCAAATCCATAAAACCAGCACAGCTTAGGGTGGCCACGTCCTTGAGATCCTGTATTTTCTCCTTTAGTAAACATACTGCTGGTCATGTTACTATCAATAATATCACCTGTTCAGTATCCAAGATCCCAAACTGAACATAAAGTGGCCACTCACAGATGAAATTTAAGTGGAAGAGAAAGAAAAATAGTCTTGAAATTCTAGGCACACTACTCCTCCTTGTGATTAATGAAGCTAGGGGGTAAACTGACAACTTCAATAGTGTAATTCCTGTCTTTCTTCCTATCGCTCAGGGGCACTGCTAATGGGCTGTGAAAGTCTCAACCGTCACACCGCACTGCTACGCAACCCCGGACCAAGGTAGCCAGCTCTCAACTCATGAATAAAATTCATAACCAGTATTTCAAGGAGATGGTTTAAGAAGACAGGACTAAATGGTCAATTGCATGTTTGTCGATGACCAATTACCCTACCCCTGTTCCCTGGGGAGGACACCACCGTTTGTGTCAGCCACAGACAATTCAGTTTTTTGGCCAATTCAATAATGATTGAATGGGAATGTACCACTCTGAGAACAAGCTGTTCTGTAAGGAGTGATCACTTAGGATGGCACATCAGAAGACCTTTCCTTGTCGAGGTAACTATCATAAACATTATTACAGAATAGGAGAAAAATCCTAAGGAATTTCTCAGCTGAAATTTGAAGTATTTAACAACTATAAATTAGTATATGGCTTTGTAATTGAGAAAATGGTAAGAAACTTTTCATTACTTTTTTAAAAAGAAGTTTACTTTGTAATTGGTAATCATTTGGGGGCCTTAATAAGAATCTTATCATTCCCCTTTGGAAAACTTGAATGGTTTTGTCATTTGTAGAAATGTTCAAGTCTCTGAAGGAGACTTACATTGCCTTCATGTCTTCTCTCACCAAAGGCTGTCTGATTTACAGAGGATCTCACGGAATTTGAAAACAGTTCAAAGTAACACCAGTGAGGCAACACGTTTCTTTGAAAACCCGGTGCATAGTACATTAAACCAGTATCTGAGCCGAGCAATTGCATGTGTCCCTCTCCTATCTAGCCTACAGTTTCCCCAAGCTGTGAGTAAAAGGAACATACTCTTTTCATCTATTGAAAACTATTTCCAAGAGGTTTATCAAGTCAACGGATCGAGGAACATCCGAGTTGATGTTGATTTTCTTTGAACATGCTAATATCCTTCATTTTAATTTAGCTTCACATGTAATGCACTCTGCCAATAAATACATTTCCCATTTCCTCCCTGTGAATAATTTGAGCCACACTGTAATTTGGCACATTAAGGGAACGAAAAACACAACAAAAGCACTTGCAACGGGTCTCAACCCCTCATGCCTGTGAGTGCTCACGTTTTGTTTGAACAGCACTAATCTTTAATAACAGTACGTCCTGTGCCCGACAAGTTAAAATTGCATGTAAAATTCTCAATTTTAGAACTACATTAAGACGGCAGGGTTTTAACGACTTCCACAACTGCACATGTTAAACTGTTGATTTGTGTCAGCACCTGTTCCAGCCAGGCAGCCTACCTATGCCGTCATCAGACCACAAGAACACTAATTATCTTTTCATTTATGCCGTCTCATTTTTAAACCTGCTTGATTACCAGTGCATAATTAAAACTACTCAAATGTCAATGGAAAGCAAAACCTATAAGGTTATATCATTTCAAACATAGGCAAGCTCCGTGTATTCTCTGAAATCCAATACATTCCAAATGTTGTTGGGTTTGTAAGGAGACCAGACTAGGTTGATGTTGTGTAGGCCGATCATGAATTAATCATCTTGAAGCGATAACTTAAGACAGATCTGACTCGACTGATAAATTTCAATTACAGTGTAAAAATCCTCTTAGCAACAATAGCCTTAAAGATTCCTAAATATCACATTCGCAAAATCATCCGTCACTTTGGAAAGGAGGCTTTCTCAATACTGTGTAATAATATACATCAAAACTGTTTCCTATTAAATATTTATAAGGTGATTCCAATGATTAAGGACCTTAATTAAAATGTTCAACATGAACAGAGCAGGTGTCATGTGTTTGGTCATATTGAAGGTTTGTGGTGATGACAGTGATGAATGGTATGATTCACATACCAGTACATACTACACTGTAGTACTTGCATCTGTTTTGCCAGGGGGATGAAACCAGACCCTGTTTTACCAGGGGAGGTAACTAGATACGATTTTACCCGGTGAAGATAACTTACTGAACCTATTTTTGCTATGGGAAGGAAACTGGAGCCTGTTTTGCTACAGGAAGGTACATGCCTATTTAACCAAGGGGAGGTAATCAGGGCCTGTTTTGACAAGGAAGGGGTGTAATCTGTTTTACAGATTTTACAACAGTGCTACGCTGTACAAGAAGCCAATACCCACGCTAACTATCTGGAAATACTTGCCTTTCATACCTCATTGCCAGATTATGATAAAACGTTCCTCGGAAAACTATTGACAATTCTATTCCCAACGCTACATAGCCATTAGTAAAAGATATATGACGATACACGTAATTGATGGATACGTGACAAGGTAGCAGCCAATCACCAGAGATGGACAAAAAAGGGAAGGGAGGAGGAAGAGAAATAGAAGAACAAGATAGTAAGGGAGTTTGGGGGTCAGGGAAGATAAGGCTGGAGATGTGGGGAAGAAAACTATGTGTCATTAATGAATACATGTACGTGACATTTTACTCTTTAGCACTTAGGATTGCAAAACCTGTGAGTATACCTTTCTGCACTCAAATTCTATGTGTCAACACCATACACTAATCACCAGAGGTATACAACCACCTTTCCCAGACTAGTGTGTGATAATGCTTGTGTTGGGTGGTATTTCAAGTATTTCCAGTCTTCAAGATTTGAAGTGAAATCACCAGAATTCTTAGTTAAAAAACAAACTGATTTCTTCTTCTTGATATTGTACTTGATATACCATAATGTTAAATTTGAGAGGAAGCAAGCTAAACTAACAAATCGGGTTTTAACTCCGGAGTAGATGTCACATCCTACTCAATTATGTTGTGTGTGTCTTATTGCTCGTCAAACCCTTACACATCCAATTAATGCATTAACTATAATGTCTGATCAGTACTCTACCTAGAATTGTCCTCGAGGGGACTAAATAGTCCTGCAGTATAGACTGCTGTCAATTTCAATATTTAAGACAACAGTTTTTGGAGACAGCTGATTACTGTCAACAGATGATGGTTAGTCATTGTTTCATTGGAGAACATGTGACAATGTTATGTGAACACATGAAAGAATATCAAGTCATATAGCTGAGCTAATGGAAGCATAAACGCTCATTATTGTTCATGTCGTATATCGACGGTAATGGCAGAAATTAGAGACAGAATGCCATGTTTATGTGTGAATGTGTGTTTGGTAAGTGTTACGCGAGGAAGTGGTATTGTAGGTATAAATAACATGTGGTGCTGCTATAAAGGTCTGTATACTTACACAAGTATAGTATGTATGGAATCAATACACTCCCAATTGTGATGAGCATGAATGCTGTAGTTACTATGAATATAGCTTTTCCTTGTGGTTTACTTTCTTCTGGTGTCGTTGTTTGTCAGTGTTTATATTGGACATGTGTGTTGTGAGAGTTGTGTTTCCAAATTCCTTTACTTTTCATTGTTCAGTTTGCTCTCTATTTCGAAATCTCCAAGTTTGACACCATTTAAAGATCTTTAAGAAACAATCAGGTCTAACCTTTGGGTACATAAACCAACCATCATGTCTAACCTTTGGGTACATTAACTATAATGACTAACCCTTGGGTACATAAACCAACCATTAGCCGTCATGTCTAACCCTTGGGTACATAAACCAACCATTAGCCGTCATGTCTAATCCTGGGGTATATCAGGCATCATGTCCAACCCTTGGGTACATAAACCAACCATCATGTCTAACCTTTGGGTACATTAACTATAATGACTAACCCTTGGGTACATAAACCAACCATTAGCTATAATGTCTAATCCTTGGGTACATTAGCTATATTGTGTCCAACCCTTGGGTACATCAGCCATCATGTCTAACCCTTTGTTACTTTAGTCATTAAATCCGAGCCTTTGGTACATTGGCTAGTGGGCCCTTCTTTTATTCATTTATTATGTCTAACTCTTATATTAGTTATCAGCTCAGAACCTGGCACGGCCATTAGCCATTAACCATCGTGTTAAGCTCAGATTGGTTGTGTTGCAATTACGCTAGTTCATGGTAACTGTAGAAAGCGGAAATGTTTCAAGGGTGCTTTAATGCTATACCGATGTGGGGCCCAACGCCAATTCGAAACCGATACTTCAGTGGCAACTTCCTCTCATCTGCCAGGTAGGAATTTCCCAGGTAAGAGGACACGATACGGCATGATAAGGGTATAGACATTGTGCCCTAGACATTATAATATACCTATTACAACAGATAGGCATTTACCTGTCCAAGTAATTGGAAAATAGAGGGTACTTTTACACCGGTGTAATGTTACCTCATAACACTTGTCATGATAATGTTTTTTTAATTTGACAATATTGTAATAATTTCTGCTATCAACAATCCACTTAAAATGTTAATTTTGTTCTGTGTAAACTGCTGGTATTAAAAAGTCCCACCAACATGGCAAGCCTGAAATGTTATCACAAAATTTACAAAATCTCAAATGTGGAATTTTTTTTAACAATTGAAGGGAGAAAGGAGAAAGGAGGGGGCGTAGGAGAGATTTCTTTTTCTTTATAAAAGCCATTGATTATATAACGAATCGGTGGCTGTCTAGCAATTGAGTTGACATGTCCCACAATCACACTTTGCTGAGATATCAGACCATCACACACATGGTCAGAATGTAATTACGTTGATTACAGGGTTAAGCTGAGCTAATACAGACCTAGCATGTCATGATAAAAAAGCAGCCTTTTTTTCTCCTCTGCTACTAATTGTAATAATGTCCTTTTCCATACACCGGAGCCAAGCAAAGTAATCAATAGTTTAAGATTAGCTCAAATGCAAATAAAGCAGGTTAGAGAGCACTTGTGAATCTATTTTAATTTAGGAACCTTTCAGATGTCGGGTCTTGGATGAAAAACCTCCGGGAGCAAGTCTACTCTTAATATCCGGCATGTTCAAAAGACAAGCCAATAACGTATTAGAAAGTGAACATAAATATTTTACAATCTCTTGTGAGGCAGGCTACCATTACTTTAAATACTAATGAAATTTGCACTTGAGCTGTACCGTTTTAACAAACACTTCCAAGGGATTGTGCCATCCAACTACAGCGTGGGTATAGGTTTGGTAGTGATCTAGCTCCTATATCGTGTCTGACTTGGGTAACTAGGAATAACCTTGATATGACAAGTGATAATTAAGGTAAGTGATATCAAATGGCATATTTTGTTCTCAATTTACATGTCATGTGTTTTTGAAGTCGAAGATTGATAACAGTCGGTGAAGACTTCCTATACTACATCAAGGTGCTCAGAGGCCTAACAGACAGACACTATATCAAACCCACCTTTCAATTCAGAACCCACTGACCACTTTACTGTATCACAAGTATTAAAATGACAAAGACAAATTTCTTTTACCAAGTAAGATTGCAGGATTGATTGTAACATTTTTTTAATGCAGGCAAATTATTCATATATTTATAAATTAACTCTGACATCCCATCCTCCCTAAACTAGACCCTGTTATAAATGCCAACACCCTGTTCTCCCTGTACTAGACCCTCTGTTCTTTGATCTTGGTACCGTCTAATATCATCTACAGGTGCTGAGCAACTCTGGGGAAATACAATATATTTAGTAATTGCTAGGGTGAGACATATAAAACAAACAGTGTCTGAAGCAGACAGATTTATGTTTTGTTTATGCGAGTATATGTTTTAATATCTCCTTGTTATGATGTTGTGAAACTGACATGATGAGATATAAGAGGGACAGAAGGGGAAGAGGATTATATCTGTGCATATTAGGCATACACATTTCATTGTTGACAAGGGGCTTGATGGTAGGCAGGTAAACGTATATGTGGTAGGCAGGTACAATGTGGTAGGTAGATTATACATGGTAGATAGGTATTATGTGGTAGGTGGGTATAATGTGGTATGCAGTTATTTTGTGGTAAAAGTGTATTGTGTGGTATTTGGTAGACAGGTGATTATCTCTAACCATTGGCTTGAGAATCCAGGTGCCCCCCCCCCCCCTTTTTTTTGCACTTCTTTGAAAAATAACTTCCCATTACGCTTGTACATATTTATACATCTGGGTAGTCTAGAACAATCCGGATAAAGTGTCTTGTTCTCTTGGACAGGTGACAGACACTTTTGACTATGCTATGTCTCCCTTGACATTGTAGTACATGTAGGTTACAAACATGAATACCTCCAAATTTGTAATTACACTGTAATGATCTATAGGTTGACATTTCCAGACCTCCTACATGTTATGAACTATTCAATAACAAGCGATCGTCAAAGGGATAAAGTTGATCAAAAAACTATTAATGAAATAACCCTGGAGTCAATTCAATAATTCTGTGTTATTGACTTCTTTCAAGGACTGCAGATACAATCAATAACCTAGTTCATCTTCTGAAATTGATGTATCAGAAGAGGAAATCATGTCTACATTTATCTAAACTTTGGAATTGATTGTCCTCAATAAAAACATGCTGCAGTAGATACAGTACACATCGCTGTCCCTGAAAATTACTGATCAATCTCATTAACTCGCTCTAGGACTGTGGACCTAATTGTGGTGTCTATATGTGTCGCCGAGAATCCAAACGGAAAGCTGGAATTTATACAGAAATAGGGAGACAAGCTATCATTTAAATCCCACACCTATCACCATTTTATGTCAGGACTTCATGTAGGATTAAAAACAACAAAGAGAATGGATGTGTAGTGGTGGTAGTGAGAGTTTGGTGAAAAAGGGAAACAAGACGGAGATGGAATGGGGCTGGAGGGAACACTAGATGTTGTGTTTTAGAAATTGGATAAGGGCTTCATGGAACCAATAAAAGTGCATTAAATGTCGATAGGACACCTTGACTGTGATGCATCACGTTGTGTTTACTGACAAGTGTCAGGTTCACTTACTGAGCAATGGGCCATGATATACAACACTACTGTTCGCTTAAAAATGAAAATGATATATTTTTTTATATAAATTTCATGCAAATTTGATAGTGATGTATGGGAAAGTCGGAATGAAAATGAACACTAAAATGTATGCTATGGTATAGTGCACAAACATCAGAAATAAAGCTGAACAGCCCAGATGTGTATGGCTTTCCTCTTCAATGGCATATTACTTGTGTTATATGAATCAGAAATCAGTTAATGGAAGATGTGATGTGTGTTTAAGATGAATCATCAGTCGTGTTATTTCAAAACTTGAAAATATTAATCCCTTTAATAAAATTCTCATTATCACTGTTTCATTATTGTGGTGTCAATATCCTAAATCTGACGAGAAAAGATGGGGTTTCATGTTTTATAATGATTTTTTTCTTCTTCATATTGATGACGTAACTTTCGCCAGTGAGGGTAAATTTCTAATTAAATCGTGAACAGGGTGAAACATAACACAGTGCTGTCATGGATTTCTATAACACTGGTAAAAAGTAAAATGAATCAATATCTTGGATACTATGCGTTCACTTGGAGTGAAAAAAATGATTTATGAATAATTGTTTTAGTTCACCTGAGCTTGGCTTAGAATAACAAGATAACTGTACATGTGGTTTGATATATTTGAAAGGAATCATGGTTTCTGTGATCAGTCTCCACAGTAAATCTAGATTTAATTTACTTTACTGTACTCCGACAGGCCAGAACTCTTCACAAATCATGGCCAGGTGAGAAACATCACGCTGACACATGCCTCAAACATCCAGATAAAAATGTCACCCATGACTCCCATTCTGGGGGGTAAGACTTGTTATCTGTGCTTTACCTCAGCCACACCGAAAACATGAGCCTGAGTTGGACATACTAATGTACCTGGTAGATACATCCAACTCATGTACCTGGTAGATACATCCAACAACATTAGAGTTCATAATGCAATCAAGAGCCATTAACTTAAAATATGTTTCACTAAGTTTTTTTTTATGTAATTCTGAAACTCACAACCCCTTTTTGTTTTTTCCAAATGTCAAATTGTCATGTACTTTGCTAAAATGTTCTTAATCTGAAGCAGTTGTAAATCAAACTTCTGAAAAACAGTAAATTGAAAAGCATGAATTCCTAGACCCATTTGCAGGGATTTTACAGGTCAAGATAAAAACATAATTTACAAATGTTTGGAATCCCTGAGAGACCTGCCGACAGACTAGCTGTTCCTGAGGTAAATGTTTGCTGTGTCTGACAGAATGTCTGCCATGTGTTTATAGTATATACAGATATCCAAATGGCTTCCCGGGTTGACATGCACACCATGTAGCAGGAAATTGATTCCCAAGATCCTGACGAACAATGAAGGCATACAAAACATTTGGCCAACATCTCCAACAGTCTCGCTAAGCAATTGTGGCTTTGTAATCTTGCATACAAAAGTTTGGCATAAATCTTATTTTCTCTCCTGATTACTTTCCATGCTTTAACTACAGACGATTCCTGATGCTTGGGCACAGACAATTATCCCTGAGCTGATATTCTGAGCACATACGCCCTTGCTCCTCTGTGACTCCTAATTGTGGAGTCATATAGTCCTCCTCCATATTGGTTTAGAATAATGCAGTTTGGGTTTTGTGTTGGGGACATCCTCAGGTCTTTGAGTGATCACATGACCGCTAGTTGTGACAGGAAGTTGCTTTGCTATCAAAAGTAGAAACACATCAGTTATCATAACACTGTTCCCCTTTGGTCGGCGTTTCCGGCTTTTTGCCATAAATTCCATCTGGAAATCTGGTTGATTTTAGCCTGTCATCAGAGTAATCTTTCATCACCTCATGCTCCTGAAGACTGGCTGTTAGGCATTAGTTTATATTTAGGTATTTTTTTTATACCCGCAGGACAGATCTAATATAAATGTCTTCGGAGTAATCTGAACAAATATTCTTGAAATTCATCATTTTCTTTTTTCTTTAATTTCCACTACAACTGCAAATGACTGCTAGAAGCAATGTTGTTTTTCGAGTTAGGCGTTATTTGAAGCAGACCACTCTAGGTAGGTTTCTGTGTATGCTTACATGTGTATTATTTTAAACAAAATTTGAAAGCAAGCAGCAGTCAACTACAATGCCCACTGCCAAGGGAATGTGTTGATTACATGTCAGTACCAGAGTATGTAATTACCGGTGGAACAGATTTTAATTAAAATGTAGAGATTGGGTCATTATTTTTGTTCGTTTAACACAAACAGTTGTGAAATATTTTCCAGATTTTCAATGCAGGGTATTGGTAGATGGTTTGTATGCTAATTACACCCCTTATATACATGGAACATCTGCTGTAGCTAACTTGTACTGCCACACACAAACATACCAGCCCACCCTCCCACCTCAACTCCTTAAAACCTCTTAGCCTGCTTTTCCAGATAAAGTCATGTACTACAAGATAATGCATAGAAAAAAACGTCGAGATAAAAAAAGAAATATATATAAGATAGCTTTTCCCATTGGTATCACTGCAAGCTATCTTTCTTTAGTAGAACCAACTACATTTGCACCAATATCCCCAGGGGAAATGTATGAAAATTCAATCAAAGGTTCACCTTCATTTTTATTAGATGTTTTTTTTCTGTTGATGGCACTGGGTTAGTTCAGATCTAGAAAGGGGGTTCCTGGAGTGGTGTCTGTTACACTCGTCACATTGTGTATCACTGGGCACTTGTAGGTAACATGCCCGACAGGTATTTCTCTAGCCTGTTAAGTTGTAGGTAACATGCCCTACAGGTATATCTCTAGCCTGTTAAGTTGTAGGTAACATGCCCGACAGGTATTTCTCTAGCCTGTTAAGTTGTAGGTTACATGCCCGACAGGTATTTCTCTAGCCTGTTAAGTTGTAGGTAACATGCCCGACAGGTATTTCTCTAGTCTGTTAAGTTGTAGGTAACATGCCCTACAGGTATTTCTCTAGCCTGTTAAGTTGTAGGTTACATGCCCGACAGGTATTTCTCTAGCCTGTTAAGTTGTAGGTAACATGCCCTACAGGTATTTCTCTAGCCTGTTAAGTTGTAGGTTACATGCCCTACAGGTATTTCTCTAGCCTATTAAGTTGTAGGTAACATGCCCTCCAGGTATTACTCTGCCATATGGATCTGTGGATACTTTGCTGCAGGTAAAGTCGATAATGACCATTCCGCTTTGAAACAGAAACCAATGCAAACAACCAGCTCAAGCTTCAAAGACAATAAATGAAAATGCAAATCCTGGCTTATTTATTCAATCTGGGTTGTAATTGCTACTTGAAACGCACAACGTTTCTGTTTTTATTTTTCAGGCTATTAGTATCAGCCTTCTGATGTGTCAAAGGAACCAGGCCTTAACGATGGCTCAAGAAATTGCATATTGTTTTCAAAGGAGATGAAAGAGCAGCCGTTCAAATGACATGGACTGTGATAATGATGGTGATGGGGTGTGCAGCTGCTGCAGTCTCAAGACCTCGATAGCAACCAGCAATGGAGGAGAGACCCGGGGGCAGTAATGGACTAACAAGCTACCAGGGTTCATTGACGTGAGGTAAGTGAGCTTTCTGTGTCTACGTTTGAGACACCTAATGGCAGGCATTACTCTGTTAGATTGCCGAGGAGCACTTCACCGATAGCAAATATCAAAACGCAATATAGACCGGCACAAAGGGACATTACATAGATCTGAAAAACTGACAATGATATCTACTTGTGTGTCTGTTTGATAAAATGCCATTCTCTTCTAAGGGGCTTCATTTTCTGTACTTCACCTTTTTGACACCAATTGCAAAATAAAAGGAATATGAGGCGATTGCAGATGGATAGGTTTTCTTCCAAGACTTTTTCTATCAGCAACAGACATTCAACAGCTGTTTTGATAGCTGATTTCACCTTCAAATTCTGGGAAACATGCACAGCCCCCTCTGGTGTGAGTTTTCTTTTGGCTATATGGATTATTCCCCCTGCTGGCAAGGATACAACATTCCAGAGAGGTTTTCCTGATTTCCTCAAAGAGACATTTTCATCAAATGTCTCTATATCAAAGTTACAGAATCCAAACTACCAGTGGAAAGACATAAATCGTTTATAAATCTGGGGAGTGCCCCAATATTTTCCTTCCCACAGGGCAAGCAGACAGATTACATCATTTCAATTGTCCCAAAAACAGCTCAGTAACGTCTGTGCCATTATTGCTTTGAACTTTAAATGTGAACATTTTACCAAAACCTCATTTATGATGTTGTAAATCCAGTATGTCATCACTATAATCTGTAGTGAAAAAAATGTTTGAATATACTTAATTCCTAGGGCTTTTACCGTCTGTGATAATAAAAATGTATATGTTATTGATTGTTCCCCTCACTCACATTAACCCAGTAAAGTAGTCCTGATGATGACAGCCAATTTCATGTTTAATTGTCCCCGGAAGACTTTGTCAAATCATTGTTCATCCTCAATGGCATAATATACAGAGAGTTGTTTCCATACAATAGTGTGCTTTTAAAATAGGGTAAATTAGTGAAATCAGCTGAAATGTCTGTCCTGTTTCCTAAGTAAGACTTCATCAGTTAGCTCCCCTTGATACCGATAAAAAAATTTCTGCAATGGCAAAGGGTAGTTAAATCCACTGCCTCTGCGGAATATTTCTCAATGCACACTAGTATTAACTTGCGTGCATAACTTAGAAGAAATCACTTTTTTAGCTCTCAAGTTTTGTTGCCTTGAAACTGAATATTTCCTATTAATCTACCAAGCAAAGAAGAGTTACGTCCCATGAGTATTAAATTGCATTGGAGTCTAAGGTTGTCCTGGTTGCCCCCCTTGTATCTTTCCTAGTAACACTCTTTGTACGTGTATTTTTCAGAGATATCCCTTCAGTCAATGGAACATCATTTCCGTCAAATACATTTTGCCTTCAATTTCAAATTAAGATTTTTTGATCAATCATAGAAAAACTAAATTTGTATAAAGTCCATCCAAAATTTGGACAAGTTCAGCTATTAGCTTTTAATATATGGTGTCAGTTTCTCTGTCTATAGAACCTCTAAAGACAATCACTAATTCTCAATATTCATCAGTTTCTGTGAAACATAGACCAAGATTTATGTGTCTGTAACTCTTAGGTGTCATTTACTTGAAAATATACAACAGAGACAAAGTCAACAATTCAGAGAAATTTATTCATTTTCAAACTGAAAAGAAATGAACATGAATTTGTACCTTTATCTTAAATTTCCCATATGTCAATCAGACATATGAACGATGTAAAATCATGGATAGTAGTTACTTCCCCTGAATTAGAATATCCAACATGATGAGTATTTGTAATTCATTATAAAGTTGGATTTGACATTGAAACATGAAATACATATAAATCAGTAAAAAAAAAAAATCCACTCAAAGCAGAAGATGAAGTCTTTAAAGAATGTAGTTTATAAAAAAAATCAAAACACCTACACTATGTAAGAGGCATTATTAATTATTGTGTATCATGTAGTTGATTGTTTTCTTCAGCATTTTGTTAATATACACAACATCAAAATTGAAGGCAAAATTGTTAGAACATAAAATGAAAAAAAGTCGGTTGGGTTATATCCTTTACAAAGTGTGTTTGGGTGAAAAGCTTTGTAATATTGGCGCTCTATAGATGTCTGTCAAATAGTACAGGTTTTCAAAAATATGAAAAAGCAGCTAGTGTGAATAATTAAAGGAATACTAAAACTTATAGCATTATCTTCATAGGGCATAATATTTTTTTCAAAGGTCTTCAAATTCTTGTAATCTCCAAGCATGATTATTGTATGCTACTGTGTATAAATATTAATTCAAACCGTTCCACCTACAGGAAAGGAAGGAACTATTGGACAGGGCAGGAGGCAGGACTGATGAGGAAGAAAAAGATGGTAGAGGATGATTGACAGCTGGGAGGCGTGGCCAACAGCAGGAAGCATTTATAATAGCAGCACAGGACACAGGTCAAAGTACAACAGTTACCACGACGACTAAGGATATGAGTGGTACTCACTTGATTGGGTTGGCCCTGCATCATCCCGGGGTTGTGTTGAGGCTGTGAATGGGGGGACGGCTGGGAAGCTGGAGGCTAGCAAGACAACGGGCGCGTCATTAACGTGTCACAGCATACAACAAGTGTCGACAAGACAACAATATTGTTGTTAACGTGTCACAACATACAATACGGATAAACGTGTGGCAGACTACACCAGTAACTCACAAATGAGAGTCAGTCTCATCAGAACTCGGGAAAACAGTCATCAACTTAACATCTGGCTGTTTACATGTCACCACTACAACAGTTTTGTCAAAATGTTTCAACTTCAACAACTGATGGTCCAATAAAACAAAATGGATATCAATGAGCGTAATCAAGGAAGAAGTGGAACCAAAAAAACAGTCCTGATTTACATACCGTAGACATCGAAGTCATGACCAAAACAACAGTTCCCGTCAACAAACAACAGAAACCAAGACATCAGTCCTCATTTAAATAAAAGTCATTACCAAAACAACAGTCTTCTTTAACATGAAACAGGCAGTCATGACAACAGTCCTCATTCACATTGAAATGTCAGTAAGACAACAGCTGTCATAAACACACCAGTATCATCAAGACAACAGCTGTCATAAACACACAAGTGTCATCAAGACAACAGCTGTCATAAACACACAACAGGCATCACCCAAAGACTCTCATGTAATAAGCAACATATTCAATCAAATTGAAAACATGTCGCTGAATGTCAATTCTGCGTGGGACATGTCATGGTCACCAAGTTTGTTAGACGAAAGTCATGGTCACTACAAAGTTTGTAACTAACTGTACAAGAGTCGCGATTAGAATGTCCGTCAGACTGTCATATTACAACAGACTGGAGGAAGTGAAACATCTAAACATTATTGCATGTAGCCAGTTTCTGTCCTTTCTTAGTGTGGGCATGTAATGTAAGTGCAAGCCACTAGCAAGTAATGCGTTATTGTGTGTAGACATGGATTATGATACTGCCCCCCCAAGCTGAGTCAGTCACCGTAAAATAACGACACCACAAACAATTGTTGACACAGAATAACGCATAGACTTGTAACAGCAGAATTCACACAGGACAAGCCAACATTGTAAGACGGGACAGACTAGGACGCCATCATGCGTCTCATATATAAGACAGAAGTCATCATGCGTCACCTAAAAGTGTCTGCAGGCGCTGTGTTATAATGTCAAGTTCTACAGTGTTGCTATATAATGTGCATATACATAGTTCAAAATATTTTTTGTACATGACAAATTTTGACTTAAATTTCCAGATACCTTACAAAATATCAATTTGTTTGTCTTCTAACCCTCTAATCTTGTCCCTTGATTACTGAAGAAAATGCTATGTATGCAGTAAATATACAACGTAAGCAAATAAAAAAAACAGATGTACATTAGTCTTGTCTAAGTAAACTGACTGTTAAATGAAATTAAAGAAAAATATACTTGCATGAAATTCATTTCAGTCAAAAAATGAAAATAAATTCTATGATAACAAAATGTATTCAGTATTGTCTTTTAACTCACACCAATAAATCTACAGTACAAAATGCATAGAAAGTGAAAGTAGATTACAATATAATAATTTCAACTTGCCAAGAACGATCATAACAATACTTTTGCCAACCAAATAAAAATAATAAGCAAAAAAAAATCAAAATAAAAAATCAAAGAAACCAAATTTAAAGTGCTTAAATCTGAAAAAATATAAAATTCAATTTTATAAAGATATATATTTGACACTAAAATACATATTGGGTAGTGTTGTCTACAGAACTAACTACTTGTGTATAATGGTTGTGCAAATTTGAAGCAGGAGCGAGGGAGTGTGTGAGATGGTAAGGAAGCTTCGTACTAACTACTGTACAGATACACACATGATTATACAGTGCAAAAGCAGACATGTTAGTAGTTACAGGTGTTTGTGGCTCAGGGATAATGATGATCATACAAGTCTGATTGATGATAATGGTGGTCAGAAAGGTTTTCAATAGAATGATGATGATGAAGACCAAATGAAGATGGAAGAGAACAAATAGAATCTCTGGACATAGAAGTGAAAGAGAAAACAAGTCATGTTGATGAGGATTATTTTCAGCATCACCTGTATCAAGGGAAGTAACTCTTCCATGCCTAACAACAAACTGGAAGAATTTAAACAAGAGTTATCTCTCTTTACTTACAACAGATCAAATCTGCTTAAGCTAATGTTACAGATTATGAGCTGCAAAATTATCTGCATTAAGTGGGTTGATTTTTACTTTGGAATGTATTCGCAGTTAACATATTATTTTTCTTGGACCATTAATATAGCTTATAGTTAAATTGGCTGGAGCTATAAGCCATACCTATCAGGCAGTAGCTTAGTTCACTTGGTCACTTCTTATTATCTATCACATTTCACAAGTTAGTTCATAAATACAACATTGGAAAAAAAGGCATGTGCAAAAAATAAGCCATAAAAAGTGACATCTAAAGTAAAAGAAATTGGTACAGAGATCCCACATCAATGCTTAAACAACTTAATAGTGCTATATGTTAAGAGAAAAACAATGGACAAATTCAGCTAAAGGATAGAAAAAAAAGAATGCTTTCATTTTAATGAAAAAATCTACATACTATGAATGTTAAATCTACATGTATTAGTTTGGATAGATCACTTCTAAATGTTTTGTAATATTCACATGTAATTAATATACATTGGAAGCAGAAAACACTAGTTTACACCAGGAGTAGTCTCCCCTGTTACATGCAGTTCCTTCGTTTCTTGGAGTTTGGATTACTGTACCACTGTTAGAATATGCAACACTAAATTTAGTGAACACTGATGCAATTATTGCTACTAAACCCTGTAGAAATGTCTATTGACTATGTTTATATTCAATGAAGACTGACAATATAACAGCAAATACATTGTGACACTCATTCAACCCAAGACTTATGTACCACTATATAAGTAGAACATTATAATTCAAATAAGATTTATTGAAATACTGTCTCAGGTATGACATAATCATTCATCTCAAATTTCCTTACAACAATCTTAAATTATGACATGACTGTCAAATAATTAAGTTAGACAAAGATTTACAGTATCCCACTACAAACTAGGACTTGCTTTACTGTAGACTATTTCTGTATAGTAACTGTGACCATTTTAATGAAATATATAACCTAGAACCACTAAATCATATGCTATCTTCTTCTACAAACTAAACACAAAACCTATGATCTGCCTAACCACTTCAAGAGGCTACTTTCTAAATTATTTTTATATATCTATTGCTTTAAAGAATAATTCTTAAATCTAAACTTAAATATTGCCAACAATGTCTCTATAGTATATGTTAAACGTCCTGATGAAACAGTGGTACAGTTATCCCTAATATGTCAATGGAGAATTCGGAGCATTTCCTTTCCATTAGTTATTGGTGCAGCTTCTCCACTGTCTCTGTAGAATCTGTAACACATCTTGAACGTACAAGGCAGGTCTGCTCCTGTCTGTGTAAACATCACCTTTCGTAGAAACTCCTTCAGGCTAAAACTTTGAAGAACCAAAAAAAAACCAGGCACAAGAGCAAAAGGAAATGATTTTCAACTTACCGGAAAAAAACCTGGGGGCATTGGTCCTCCTGGCATCCCGTCCTGAGGGGGCATCTGTCCCAGCGGACTAGGTGCTGGGCCTGCATTCTGCAACACGGAGGATAGAGGTTAACTTATAGGTCATACAAAGGCCAATAGATAGGTTTTTGGTAAGCAAAATGGATAAAGTCTATACAAACAAAGAAAGTAGAAGGCAATATATAGGTCATTGACCTATGCCCCCTATATACATGCTTTGTTTTGTTTATGACTTGTATTGCTTGTGCAACAATGTTTTTTTTACAACAAAATTTATTATCATTTTTATCTTCCAGATGAGAAATGATCTCATATGGAAGATAAAAATAATGGTAAAATCTGCAAAAACAGTTTCCATAAAATAAAGGTCAACTATAGCTAAAAGGATAGTGGTACTGATCTCGGATTAACGTGCTCAAAGGCCAAAAAATTACATTTAACTCATATGCGACATATATCTTAACTAAAACTGTGTCTTTTTATAAACGAGACATAAACATTTCTAAGCCTACTATTGACATCAGTTAGACCGTAATAACGGCCTGGAAATCCTACTATTGACATCCGTTAGAACCGTAATAACGGCCTGGAAAGCCTACTATTGACATCCGTTAGAACCATAATAACGGCCTGGAAACTACACAAAGCATGATAATACAACCATATAATCATTACAGGGTACCAGTTTAACCAAGGCACTGCTATGGATACTGTGTAACAGAATCCATGTTGTACATGTCAATCTATACAATAACATACTTTCTACTATCTTACAGGTAGCTGCCTGCCCCACCCACTGAATAAACCCCATTACCACCCATCATTATAACCAAATTGTATGTTATACTTCTTTTTCGAAACCCTTAGAATGCCTTAACACCTGCTCATCATAAAACACCTAGTACTAGCACACCTGGCTAAATCATCTGGTGGGAGTTATCTCCCCTGATTCATTTTCAGCTGGAAGAAGATTCATAAAGAGTACACCTGTACATACAGTACTGACACCTGTTCAGAAAAGAATCCTTTACATAGACACCTGTACAACAGACACCTCTACATATTGACACCTTTGAGATTTGTCAAAACCAGCCAAATAATTTTGTTCAGACAACGAAACCGAATCATAAGTAGACTGAACAGTTTGGCTCTCTCTGCAAACCGTCCTATAGATGTCCCGTTCAGACAGAGAACACTAGTACTAATCAGCCTGGTGACTTGATCACCAACATGTAACACTAGGATGCTGTACATTGAGCCCTCAATCAATAAAAAACAGTACCAACAAATAAGGACAGCTATGACAAAGGTTCAATAAATACCATACAATGGTGATCAACTTTACTTCACATACAATTAATAAGTAAAGACTAGTCAATTTGAATCATTGGATTTATGTGAGTATTCAATCATATACCCAAAGCAGGAATCCTGTACAGCACATTTCGGCATGATTATATTTTTTATAATTTCAGTTCAAACACACATCAAACTTTAAGGCCAACAAGTGTTTCCGGACAAATGTTCACAGTTGATCTAGCAAAACAGCTGTGACCTGTTTTGTAACTAAATCACAGATTACACAAACATATTTATATTTGATAATACTACACCAGGAAGTGAAACACTTGTAATGTAGGCTATCCACCAAACAGGAGTGGGTTTCAACTCATCACAATAGTCTCAACACATGGTATTAACCCCAGTATACAGCCCTACCCATGGTGACAAGTAGACATATACTGCGGACTTCAAGCCTTCATGTCCTTCCTGCTCTAAAGCTTAAGAGAAAGTTTGAAAAGTTGATGATGAAAAAATTATTCCGCAATATATGTTAATCCATTGCAATATTAATATCACATGGTTACCAAAACACAGAGTGTAATCTGAGGTGACAATTACCACTGGAATTATATAACCCAACCTAACAAATTAGCAAAAGTTCCCAGAATGAATGACTGCACTGAAAACATTTACAGAAATATACCAATTACAACACGAAACATAGTCCACTGCGGACAATTCTATATTACCATACTTGCCAACTCTCCAGATGTTGGACCCTAAAACTGAGTATTTTCAACCAGTGAATTTGCTAAATTATTCCTACATTCTAACAACCAGTGATTTCATCTGAAAGAACAGCTCAAAAGAAACCTTTTAATTCTGAGCACGCGTAATCTCCCCCATGGAAATTTCAATAAGTTGGCAAGCATGTATTCCGAAACCTGCATGCTCACGAGCACACACGCCGTACAATCAAGGGAGATAACAAGGGGGAGCATATATTACTTGCTACAGGTTACGGGTGGCTTGCTACGATTTATTTTTTTATCAATGTATCAAAATGATTTCATTTAACAGACAAACCTACAGCAATATATATGACTGTTCTTTTTATTTTTCTTCTTCTTTTTTCAATTTGAAATATTTTTTTTGTGGATTGTTGGATTAATCAGTATAATGCATATTTAATATGAAGCAAGTAATGACTGCTCCCCTAATGTAGAGATAGGTAGGCTCACAAAACTTAGAGTACACAAAACATATGTAATCTACTGTATTGATTTGCACTCGAGACTTCAGTGCTGTGTATATGGTCAGTCCACATTTTGGGAGACAGAGTTTTATATATATATTTTTTAAATATATTTTGTTTCCAGACCATTGTTTATTCATTTTGTACAACAGTTACAAAATGTGCAGGGGTGGACAACAAATATATTTTTTGATGCCTTGTGTGCAACAGGATAGAATGTGACTCTCCAAGCCAGAACCAGCAAGTAAATTTGGTGGAATAAATGTCAGCACCAAGCCAATGTTATTATGGATCCACTCATTTGTTATCAGTTCATATAAGGATTTATAAACCAAGAACATCGGCAAATTAGCCAATCTGGAAGTAGGCACTGCAAGCGATTGGTTTGAGGGTGTGATTTTCCAGGGTAACCTACACATACACACATTACAAACGCCATGTCACTATAAACTGCACTAAGTACACATAATCAGCTGCTGATCTTATATGTATTTTAACAGACGGTAGAATTTGTAGCATGTGAGCTGCCTACTAACTGAAAGTTTGTAGGGTAGGAATATTCTTGCAGTGGTGAGCTAGTGTTTGTTTCACTGAGCAAGACACTTCCCCAAGATTATTTAAGTCTACCCAGCTGTGCAAATGGGTACCAGTTTGCTACATGACTTTTCAGAACATAGAAACTCGAGCTCTATGGATCAGGATCAGAAAGTTCTGTGAGCCATTGAAGGCTCGGAAAGAATGGTCTTATCTGTTTATTAACTGAATACCAAAATTAAGAATCTGTTAATTTGTTAAATATTCAATTTGAAGAAATGTGACTATCAACTGAATATTTGTTAATTTACACTGATAAAAATCATTTTTTCAAATACCTCATTTTTTGAACAAATAATGCAACAGACAGAAATTTGGTTTTCAATGTGCTACACTTTTGAACTCTCTAGAGCACACACATTTAATTCAAAAGTACCACACAACCCCAGATATTCCAAACGAGATATCTGTTTTACGAAAAAAAACTACCACTAAATATGATATTTTTAGCTTAATATTTTCAACCTGATGATTCAGCCAAAGGGTTTATTTTAAAGGCTGGAGCCATGGTCTAATGTATCCTCCGGAGATTACAGACTACACCTTCTTCAGAAGTCTTCCTGCCACACAGAACCTGTCTATTGGGACTGACATATTGCTCAGATGAAAGAAAATAATTTCTCAAGATATAGTCAACCTGTTCAAACAAAACACTGTATACTCTGGAAACGTTTATAAATTGGACCTTTGTTTATGTAACACTTTTCGTAGCTTGCATTGAGGGCCAAACAGATTTCTGATCACTTTTCATGATTCTACCAATATCTTGAAAAAGTATGACTAGCCTTATAAGAAGTAAGAAGTTAACCTAGTTTCAGTTCAGATATTTGTTTATATTTGTTGTAACGCTGTTGACAATTTGACTGAATTGTCATTCTGACTTATCATGCCCATCAACATAGAAACTCTAGGCTTCTCACTCTTTTCTCGATTTGTAAGAATAAATATTGAAGCACTAATCCGTAATTACTGCATGAAGTCTGGTGACACAACTAGGCAAACGGACACCTTGTAAAACCCTGGGAGAAACCTGTCTGAATAATACAGAGGGAGCTATCAAACATCTAATAAAGTCAGATTAAAGTCTATTATGGGATATTCAACTGTCAAAGTGAATCTCACCCAAACAATTCTTTGTCGTGCTTGAAACAGACATGATATGGAACAACCCCCTGGTAGAAAAAGCGCAGTCTTCCTTTCAAAAGGTGATAAATAATTCATTTATTACCTTTAATACTCATCGTTCGCTTTATTCCAGGTTGAAATTTTCAACCGAAAAAAAAAAACAAGTGTAAAATCCAGCTTATTCCTGGGTATTCTTGTAATTGTAATTCTAAAAGACTGATTTTCTACTGTCTCTGTATGGTATATGTTTATCAATACATGCATGAGTACAATGTGAATTATGATTTAATGATTTTTTCATATGACAGTATTTTATGATAGAAACGTGTCTGAAGACATTGTGTAGTGGATGGGGACCTGTCCTAACATCCCAGCCCCTCACACATAGCCCATCACGCTGTCCCTTTAAACCCCGGTCGACCCCTAGCACTGCCAGTACCAACATTATTGATCTAGCCAGTGCTGACCAGCCCACAATGGCTGGGTGCCGATCAGCATTGTGTGTGTGGGTTTGTGTGTGTGTATATATAGTAAACACATACCCTGCTGCCACACAATACAGGGGTGGCCTACTATCTGATCAGCCAGGCGTGAAGCGTGTGTCAACATGTTTATACACAGCGCCTTATCTTGCCTGGCCCCAACACGGATCACCGACCTTACAACTCCTTACCCCAATATATACTAGGATCGAACTCAACATCTCTTGTGTAATGCATATAATACGAAACTATAGACACGTGTTTACACCCGGTGATTTATATATTGTGTATATACTCACTCTATACCTCCTTGTCTCTAGTAATATACC